TGTCAGCTCCTGAGCTTGCCTCCCTTGAATTCATCTAAGGATAACACTGCTAAAACCCATGTAAGAGCATCACTCCACCACGTAGGGGTCTGAGGCAGAATCCCTCATTTGTATTGCAACCCGGGAGTTGGCAGAGCCGTGAGGTCCCATGGATCATATCAGAGTCCTAGGGAAGGGTAACATGCCTTTGGTTGCTTTGAGGTAATTCTCTAGGCAACCTGGAAGAAACAAACCAGCAGTTCCTATAAGCAACTAAAATTCCTCTTACACAAAAGAGAACAGGTAATCTTGAAATACCTTGAATATTTTTTTGTTATGTATGTGTTTTGTGCAGCTTCTCGAAGGAGAAATAAGTGGGAACTTGCTGAAGGCTCTCTCTAAAATATTTCTAGCCACAGAATTGGCTAATACTGTTTCCACTGCTGAAAAAGAATAAAACTCATAGCAATCTCTTATTTGCTCATTCAGTTTCTCATTCATCAGAAGACATCACTGCGTGGTTGCCTAAAAGAAAGACAAGTACAGGTGCATATAATATACACGTGCAGATATGTATACATACATACATATATATAAAAGCACAGTGAAAATATTTCTCACTAATATTTGTTATTGGTAAAATGAATTTTCTTGCCAGGAGCATAACTGCCAAATTCCTGGTGTTAGTGAAAGCACAGTTACTACTATTTAGAAATCTCTCAGTCTTAGGCTGTATAAATTTTGGCTGAGTTTTTAATGCAAAGTAAAACTTAGTACAAGCCTCTAGGACTACAGCCCCTTTCGGTGTGCTGCATGTAAAATGAACCAGAGTAACATCCTTCAATGTGTGCATCAGATATCCTGATAGACAAACTAGAGACCAATGATTTAGTCAGCTGTATTCACAGTTTAATAAGGACCTCTGTTCACAGACTAACATATACTTAAGACCAACTTTTCACTATTTAAAATCCTCTATCTGACTTATAAATGTAGGAAAACCAGCAAGTTACCTCTTCCTTTTAAATCATAATCTTACCAATATTTTACATGTTGGATGATTTTAAATTAAATTAGACAATTAAAAGTCTATCCTTGCTCACTCTTATTTATTAACTTTTAGAGAACAGTTTTCTTCACAGTAGCAAAATCAATACCCTGAGATAAAGTTTCTAACAAGAATTTCCTTTCTCATAAAATTTTATTGGCAATTTAATTTTTAATCTGTACTGAAAAGGTAAAATATAAATAACAATGCTCTTTTTTTGCTAGTAAAAAGGTCTTTATTTACTTTGGAACACAAGCAGGAGGTACATTTTCAGCTGAGTTCAATCATTTTCTGCATCCTTGATAACTCTTCATTTGCACAGAAAGCTGGCTGACAGAAAAATCACTACCTAATTGACTGGAGCATGCTTTATATTCATGTATTGGTTACACTCTGCTTCTCAACCCCCTTATGTCTGAGTTGAAAGTGAGCAAAAGTGCCCGTCCAAACACAGCACTGTACTGTAGATCAAGCTATTACCTTGGGGCAATGTACTCCTTAATGCCTACTATTCAAACTTCTAGTTGAATCTAGCTGAATTACTGTGTTTTGCTGTAGCATATGTACAGCAGCAAAACGTTGCACTACTTTGGGCAGGAGGGGAAGTAAAAGGGCCCAATATGTTGCTCAGTCCAGGATGGGAACACAGACACTTTTATGAGAAAGACAAGGGTCCTGTCACATAACAAAGAAGGAGACAGAGAAAGAAGGCTAATCAAAGTCTTACATAGGGTTTGGCCACACAGTAGTAACGTTTCACTCCATTCTACGCCCTCCCATCTGATGATTTAAAAACCATTTGTATAGTTTAAGTCATCAGAAGATGCCACTGCTGACACAGATACTACGCCCATGCTATGGCAGGGAAGTGGGACGTGGACAATTTAGGTAGCTACAGTCCAAGACTCACTCAGAGACCCACACCTAGTACAGCTCCTGCTACATGCTTGTTTCTTATGGTAGAACTGATCTTTCTGGTGAGTGGAAGCCTCCTTTTACAGCTGGCTGCTGTGGTGAGCACAAAATAGTACCTCACAGAAGTGTGGTTGAGAGCACACACAGCCATGCTCTGTTATGTCTGTGTGGCTCCCACCAGGTAGCAAATAGCACAGAATTTGTGCCAATACATAGACACAAAAAATCCTAAACTGCTGGCATGCCCCTCATTTGGCATCATAGTTATTCTGGTATTAACTCAGGCTTGCACAGCCAGCATAGCTCAGCCTTTGGGAAGGAGACTTCTGCCCTTACAGTGCTGACTTGAGTCCCAGTGCACAGTGTCACTTTCCCACACTGAGTAGTCCCTTGATCTGTGAGTAGTGCCTATGACTTCTACAGGGACTGCTTGCAAAGGACAGTGCAGCTCAGCAAGCTCTTTGTAAATGTGTGGCTGTGACACATTCATCATTAACAATGACCCCTGTAATCATTTACAATGCCTTTATCCCTCTGTGTGTAAAAAAGTACCATTATGCCAAGCCAATGGGAGAAAAACTTGTATGGTGGTAGTGGCTTTAAAACTGAAATTGTGAAGCACTATTTGTATGGAGAAATGAAATAACAACAAGTGGGAAGGGTGAGAAACATGAAAGGAAATACGCTTAGGGAAACAGAAGCTGGAAGTAATCAATAAATCATAGAATAAAGTAAAGAGAAAGAACCTTTAAAGTGCCCGAGCTTAAATGTCAAGAGTATTAGAACAAAAGAGCTCCAAGCAGGAGGACGTGTGACAGACTATGCTGAAACTCTGGCAGAAAGCATGCTCTCTCCTGAGTGTGGAAAAAAGTACAGACAACCAAGGGCAGCAGAGGACAACAGAACAAGAAACTAGGAAACTGCGTAGGTTCCTCTTCCTCACATGGTTTTAACACACAAGATTGGTATTATTGTTTTTAGAAGATTCTGAGGATTAAAACTGGGGAAAAAAACATCATCACAGTAGTGGAAAAGATTAGTTTTAAACTATATAATATGCTGGGAATCTGCTATCACGTACGCATGAAGGTATGCCATCAATATTGCAGAGTAATAGGATCTTGCTTACATTGCACTACACTAAAAAGAAACAGAGCTAGCAAAGGCAAAGCTGTTGTTATATTTATCCCTAGACAAATTCATACAGCTAAAATTTAGGTGGTTTTCTAGTGATACTCTTTCAGCAATGCACTTAATCACACATAGCTCTAGTCACACTTAGCTCTAGGAACATGTGTCTGCCCCACTGAAATCTATGTATATAAACATACACTTAAAGTTAAGCTGGTACTCAAAATGTTTTTCCAAGCTGAATCCTATGTGCTGATGGATTACCTAGTTAGCTATAAATTGCATGGTTACATCTGGTTTTGGCTACTGGTTCAGAAACAGATACCTATTCTGTTTGAAGCAGGCTGTTATTCATGTAAGACAATAGATCCTTCTGGCACCACATGTGCGTACATTGTGTAAACAAAATTTTCTCTTCAAATGGGCTTTGGAGTCAACTAAGCAAAGGCTGCATGTGCTCGTCTCAGCAGAAGCCTGTATGGAAATAAACTATTATGCTTGGATGTACCTTGAAGAGCAAACTTTGGGAAGCCCTCACAGAGGCTGCTCTGACATGTCTGTACCAGTGAAAGGCAGACAAACCTCTGGTCCTGTGCTTTGGGTGATGGACTTTGTCAAGCATGGCAGACATAAGGGCTTCTGCAGCTACTGAAAGACAGCAGCAGAGCTCGGGCACAGCTGTTTCTAAGAGCCCTGGCGGCACTGCCTGCTGCACAGGCCTCCTGTTTGGGCCAAGAGCCAAATGGATCCCCTTCACAAAACGTGTGGGGTCAGGATATGGCTATAGGAAAAAGTAATCAAAAAACACAGACAGGGTATTTGTTGTTGGACTAAAGCATCACCTGAAGTCCCTGTGGACCACTCAATCAGTGGCAGGGGAGAAAAAGTACATTGAATTGGTTGTGAAATACTGTAAGTTTGAATCAGGTGGTGAAACTGACAGGGAAACAGAGAAGCTTAGTCCATTTTAAAGAGGGCTGATGTGCAACAGTAATGTCCACAGGTAAACTGCGTGTTAATACTTGTGTTAATGCTGCTGCAAATGCCCACTACAAAAGAGAAGTTTCAAAAAAACTGCTGGGTCTGATGTGAGCAGACTGCTGAGTCAGGCAAAAAAAAAAAAAAACCCAAAGTTACTGCTAGGGCTCATTTGACAGCAAAGGATTTTGTGGTTTACCTCAAAAAGACATCTGAAAGTTCACTCATAATTTTATGAAATGTCTCTCATTCAAGTTGTCAAAGCCTGACAGGATTGTTAAAAACATCAAGGGGTGAATGGTCCTTCATCTTATTGCTCTTGCTCAACTGAATGATCGATGAACAAACTAAAACTGACAGCTGTTGCAAAGAAATCAAGAATTAAAGGAGATACAGAAGATGTTTCTACTCCACCCTGTGTAATTCAGCCTAAAGAAATTGAAACTCCGTTCAAGAAAAAGTTGGAAAAGCAAGAACAGCAGCAGCCTAGAACCTGGTTTTAAGTCTGGCTGTTCTGCCCACTCCAAGCAAGGCCACTAGAGGGGCATGAGGCAGGGCAGCTCACAAGACTGGGGTTCATCAGTTGTCACAATTTGAAAATTGCACAAATTGAAATACAGAAAATAATTCTTCTAAACATAAGGAACCCCATTTTTACTGTGACTGAACACCGGAATAAGCTGCCCAGGGAGGATGTGGAGTTTTCCTCCTTGGAGATGTTCAAAACCTGAATGACACAGCCCTGAGGACTGAGCTTGAGTTTCCCCTGCTTTGACGAGGCAGGTTGGAGTAGATAATCTGCAGAGGTTCCTTCCCACCTCAGCCACCCTGAATAGAACGCAAAAGAGTAATTTCTTACTCTCTACTGTGTTGTTTTTTACTACAGGCAGATGTTATTCCTAAGTGTAGTAGCAGGCCTCAAATAAAATTTTACCGCTTTCCCATGCAGTTTTAGGATTTGGGACAATCCACAGGCTGCACTCTGATTCAGATGTCCCCCTGAATCAATGTGTGTCCTCCAGGAGGGATCACAGCTGTGTAAAAGTGCAACACTGCTGCAACTGCGAAACCTCATGTCAATTCTGAGAAAGTTCATGACTACTACACGGAGATGCCAGCCACTCGAGCAACTCAACCTACAAATTATTGCATTGTTGCAAGAATGAGAGAAAAAAATCACTCGTTATTACAGAAGAATCATAGAGACATTCAAGCACATTGAAAGCTTTTCTGAAAACATGACTTCTCTGGAGCTATCAAGCCATAGGAATTGTTTTCTAACTTTGTGCCTTTACAGATCAGTTTTCCCTGCTATGTTACCTGTTATTTATTTAATGTCACTATACGTATACATATATAAATGTAAATGCAAATAAATGCACATATATATATGTATGCAGGAATATAACCATATGAGCATATGTTTGTTTATTTCTGTTCTGTGTGTGTACAACTACTATAGCAAAATCCTTTAGATGCAGAAGTGTTTTGCAATCCATTAATTTATGCTTTCTTCCTGCATTTGTAATGCCAGCACCAATTAATTTACAGGGATTATTTCTAGTGCTTGTCAGTGGCAGCAGTCCCCAGCTGAAGTAGCAGTGAGCTCAAAAACAATTTTAGGCCAGTATTTGGCCAGACCTGTGTGCTAAAATAAACACAAGGCATGTGTAATTTGTGTACAAGGTTCATCCTGCTCTTCACTGCTGCCCAGCTGCTAAGTAAACAGTCTCCAACCCTTTTCCCAGCATGAAGCAGGATGTTTGGGAGCAGGGAGGTGGGGAGCTCTTCAGCACCTCCTGTGATTCATCTAGCAACAAGCAACACGTGATCTCTGCCAGTGCTGGGTTCCCAACACAGGTGATGCTCCACCTGGCCCCAAATCCATCTCCATCCAAAGCTTCATGGTGGCATATGGCTGAAACACGTCTGGAAGCATCACCAGTGGGCAGGGAATCAACCAGGTCACCAAGTCTTCCTCAACCCACTCGGTGCATGTGCTGAAGTTAGGTCACTACCAGCAGCTGCTATATTTATAGAGATATGTCGTAAGTTTGACGTAAGACAAAATTTGTTTTTCTTGTGCAGCAGGGCAAAGGTGCCTTTCTCCTCCCCTTCTTCAGTTTTTGGACAAACCTTTACTTGTTTTCACAGGAACATTAGCTCAAATCTGCTGCTACTGTGCGCAGCCGATAAAACTACTGCTTGGAAAGACCATATGTCACATGAACTGCTCAAGAGGCATGAAGCCCCGCTTTTTTCCGATCCTTTAAAGATACAATTCTATGCACAGTTAAAATGGAAAAGAGCATTATGTTTAAAGATAAACTCACTTACTGTGCAACTGCTTTGCTAAATTCTGTCACCAAATTACTTGTTAATAAGACATTTGGCCTGCCTGTTTGGAGAAAAAAAAAAAAAAAAGAAAGTTGTTGCACATCTCTTTCTCCTTGTTTATTAGTTGCTATGACAATGCTAATGACACTATCACTACAGAGGAATAAAATCTTTTATTAGAGGCAAGAAAAGACAAAAAACTCATTCTGAGGAGAAAGTTCCCTCTATTTATGTACTTCTTTGACCTGGGTGGTTAGCCAATATTTAGGGTCTCTACAGGTTGTTTCTGTTTGGAGAACAAATGGATGAGGGAGTGAACTGGGCTTTTTAATGTGCTTCTGTTTGTTTAGAAAGACTGTACCCAACGTCCTGTTACTCTGGGCACAGCGGGAGTCAAAACAATAAGCAGTGTTTTCTCTCTTCACACTTTCAAGCTTCTTTTGAGCCACAACACGAGCCACAACACAAGCTCTCTCTCTCTTAACTTTCTCTCAGGGTCAGGCTACAAGGGTTTTTCTTGCTGGCTCTGGTGTACCCTTTCTACTTCCTCTGTCTGTTTCCTTGATGTTTCTGCTGTCACTTTCTGAACTGCTCCATTTCATCATATGCCACCTTGTCCCCAGCACTGCAGTTAGATCCTGGAGAAATGCCTCAGCCCCCACAGTTCAGCACTGCCAGGCATGTGTGGTGCAGTATGTATGGTGCAGCATGTATAGTGTGGCTCCCAGGCTCCCAGTGAGCGTATGCCACGAAGAAAGTAGTTCTTAGGCTTTTCCTTAGGGGAGGGAAGCTTTCTCACCCACCATCTTCAGTGAGGTTTCATGGCTGATTTTCAGCATAACACAAAATTTATTTCCAATACCATATTTTTGCTCCCTGTCAGATCAGTTTCTGTACAGTAGTGCTATGAAGTGGGGGAGCAGAAAATATGTTACTATTTCCTAACAAAGCAGCCTCTGATGCAACTATAATAAAGTTGTGAAAAAGTCCTAGAGGAGTTAAACAGATTTGACAGCATATAATTTCCATAAATTTAGGGCCTGATCCTGCTTTTGTTTTGCTAATGACTACTAAAGGGAGATAATGCATGAGCTTCAGACAAACTAAAGACAGAAGTAATGGCCCAGCCCAGCAAAAAAAGGCAGGCATGTGATGGAGCTGTTGCGACATTTTCATGCCAAAGAGAGGTAACTAGTGTTCCTGCTCTGGGTTCAGTCCATCTCTGCTGTGACCAACAGGTCTCCTGTCCAGGCCTGACTGAGCTAGATACCACTTTTGGCAGCAGTTCTGCGGCTGGCCCTTGGAGCTTTATCCTTGACTGGAACAAAGGTTGCATATAGCATAACTTCTGCTCAGGAAGGGCAAAGATCTTTAATTTTCAACAGCAAAAACTTGTCACAGTTGCATCTTCTTTTGCTTTCAAGGAAACAAACTCAAGGAGCTTTAATTTATCTTGGGTTTATGCCACAGCTACTAACAGGGCCCACTTGACACATAACAAAGCTTCTTCTAGTTGTTCTCAGGCAAGATCCATCTCTGGTTTTCATATACTTTCTTTTTATCATTCCTTCCATAATCCCATCTCCTACCACCCTCTACGTCTGTCGTCAATCTTTACATAGGTGATGGGCCATCATGGTTTTCAGTGTACATTCTGAATGGAAAAGATCCTCTGGTATGACTTCACAGACCTACAACTTTGAAACCAATTCCTTCACTACCGCAGACGCACCAGTCAAAATTTTCTGAAGGTCCCAGCAGAGCAAATGGGTTTCTTTGGCCACATCATAGCAGTAATACTTAGGCACTGATGAGACACTGCCACCCATTAAACTGGGAGGCATGGATCTGTCAGCACCAGTGAACTTCACACCATGAAAAACCTCTGAATTCAATAGAATCTAATTTAAATGGAATTTCACATCCCGGAACAGATGAAGCTTGCACATTTAATTAAAAATCTCAAGCCATCCGCTCACCCAGCCAGTCATTAATCGCCAGGAAATGCCCTTTGCTGAGACCATTATTTCTTAACTGATATACAGGGAGCAGTATACATTTGGTTTAGCCTTTGAGAAAGAGGGCAAGTTTCCTCCAAGCACTGGAGAGGGTACTGCATCCAGCATCCAGTTACAGACACGTGGTATGTAAACTAAAGTGCTTGATTCCGCTGAGTACTCAAGCAGATGATGGAATCTGGGATTGACAATTTTCTTCTATTTCTGCTGAAAACCACAACCGTTCTGAACAAGAGGAAAATGGATTGGGATGGGTGTCTATTTTCCTTTTAAAACTTTGAATGCAATAGTTCAAAAAACTCTAGTAAGACTGCCACTTAAGAGACAACAGGTATTCTTAGGTTTGTTTGTGGTTAATTCCTTCCATTTTCAATAAACTGACAGTCACTTGATCAGAGTCGCGACAAAAGATCTTCCCTCTCAAGAAAGTATCTTCAATGGTCTGCTCCACAATAATTGTTCTCTGTCCCAATCACTCTCAGAGCAAGGATTTGAGAGCACATCTCTCGCCTCTGAATCTATGGATCAATGTACAAGTTGGTATATCTACCAGCAGTACCGATCTGATCCAGGCCGGAGGGAGCATTCCATTTTATTTCTCTTGAACATGCCATATGACTGATCGTTATGCTGTCTTTATCCTTACACTGACCTTTTGCTAGCTGCAAGACAACAGCCAGTCTCAGTCAGTATAAAACTGGGTGTTGAAGATAACCCAAAAACATTTTTGGAACCAGTATGAACCCAGTGTCAGCACCTGCAATACAAATCTAGCTGGGATGTATTTAGCCACATAAGAGAAGCACTGGAACTGGACTTACTGCATCATTGAACCGCAGCCTCAGAAGCGTGCCCTAAATGCAAGGAGATTGCCTTATGAGGCCATTTTGACTCAATCTCTCCTTTTGGATCTGTTCCACTTTGCTTGCAATGCTTGCATATTCACTGACTCAGAAAGCATGAGAACAACTTTAGTGAAGGGCTTAGGGCACTTGCTGGAGAGGGGAAAAACATAGGTTGTAGCATGGCCTGAAGCACTTTAGCGAAGTGGAATAGTGTCCGCAGGAGTGACAAGCTGCCTCTGGCCCCATCATACTAACTGGCCTGCTTAGCCACACATCATCTGAGGAGGACAGACATGGCATTTAGGGTAATCAATATCCCCATCCCCCTCATCTGTGACCACTACCCACATGGGAGACAGGTACTGTCTCATCCACTGCTTTCCTACCCAGCCACTGTGCATGCATTCAGCTCTTTCCCAGTGCAAGCGGTAAGAGCCCTGTGACCCCAGGCTTGTGCAGAAACCCCGTGGTGAGCTGCTGCACAGCTCACTGCATTCTCACCCTCCTGCTTGCTGGCTGCCTGCTGCCTGTGTTCTTCCTCTGTTTATGGCATTTGGGTTAAGCCTGCCATGTACCCTGGCAGGTAGTTTCCCCCAGTCCTAACCTAACTGGTAGCATTTGATTGACAAAATTAATGCATCAGGTCAGGATGTCCTTTGTGCCAACAGCAAACAAGCTGTCAGGATTAGTTTAAAGCTCCACCATGTTTAAAAAGGCCAAACAGGTACCTTCTTCCTTCCTTCTTTCCTTCCTTCCTTCCTTCACCTCTACACCCTTCTCCCTGTCAGGTACACTACTTGCTGCTGAACTAATGTTTGCAGTGGTTAAACATCGTTTTTCTCAACAAACTGTCCTGGGACTTGCCTCAGGACTTCATCTAATGCAAGAAATCCTATCCTCAGCATTGTTAGGAGTGATCTAGTCCCAGGTTTTTATTCAGTGATCTATCCTCTGTTTTGCTTTTGCTAATCGGGTAATTCAGACATCATAAGCAACTTTCTGCTGTTAATCAGTATTCTTGACACTCAGCTAAAGCTACATCTTGTTTAACCCACAGGCCAAAAGCCTTCTGAATCAATGGCTGTGACCCCTTAACATTAGGTTTGGCTGCATAGGCTGTCTGTTGCCACCACATGTAGTCATGCCTATCCTTGGAAGTAAAATATTAACACATCCCTTTGGGAAAGGAAAATTCCAATTTGACTGTAGCATTTTAAACTTTCTAAACAAAAGGCAAGGTGTAGACCAGAATCAGCTCCTTGTTCTTCTGCTTAGCTATTATTCCTGACTAAAAAGTTTCCTCAGAAAGTCACTGCAAAGGTTTTTCTGGTTCCATATCATAAAATCAATTACTGTTTTGAAAAGCTGACATTGACTGCTTGCTACCTGCTTTGCTGTCTACATCCTTCTGAAGATCATTAACAAAAGTCCTAGAAACCCCAGTCCCGTGGTGCATGTTTTCTCTCCTTTTTCAGAATAGTCCCATCATGCCACTCTTGAAAGTTTTGATATTTTGTTCCTAATCCTGATTTAGAAGCATTTGCTAATAAACTGACAGGTTGTGACACATCCCAGTAATTCAGAGCTTTTTTACCTTAGATTCAGAGTGCTGCTTTTATGGTTTCAGGATTTTTATTCACACAGCTCCCACCTTCAGTAGCTCTTTGAATGCAGTTGTCAAGATAGCTATGTTTCGTGTACATTCTTCCTGGAACTGAATTCAGTTTTACCTAGAAAATTACAAGTCTTCTGTCCACAGCAGGTTTCATTCTGCAATGGCTAACTTCTAAGGCAGATGATTTCTCATCTTGCTAGCATCAAATATATTCAAAATACTTACATAAGAAGCTTATTTTTATTGGTCACACTTGAAATTCATTCACTTAAGTGTGTTACTCTGTTTCATTCCACACCTAACAAATCCAGGCTCATCATTTGCTCTGTATTATGTCCAATGTGTCCTCTGGGAACATAAGGTCTGAGTATCTGCATCTAGCAAATGGGAAACCAGTTGTAGTTACAGCCTTATTATGAGTGCTTAACATTTGCATCAAGGTATTACTTGGAGGCCCTAGTGACTAAAACTCTATTTAGCTTGGACCTGTGCATATCTTATACTGAAAAGGCAGTGTGTACTCTAAACAATTAATGGAAGAATAAATTCTTTGCTGGATGTAGCCTGCCAGCAATGTAGTTTTGCTTGGTCTAAGATGGGAACCCCTGTATATCTTCAGTCTCCAGTAATGTCTCATTACACTGAAGCATTTTTTTTCTACCTTCACTTTGCAGATTCCTGCTCTACAGCTTACTTCTAAGGGAGGTCTGTGAAAGGCAGCCACAAGAAGCAAGCCTACTGTCAGCCTGTGGGTGTAAACTGACCACGCAAAGATTTATACTTACTTCACCCACAATTTATTTATTTATTTATTTATTTTAAGAAGGTGAAAAAACACTGTTTTAAAGACTGGACACACTGTTTTTATGGAAATCATTTTAAACTTTATTTTTTATGTTCCATTGGTGAAATAACCAAAGACAGGAAGTGACTGAGAGCACACAACAGCAATAGTCCAGAGCACAGAGAGGTTTGAAAGCAGATTCCATGGTTCGCTGGTCTTTGAAGTCAAGCAGAAACCATGGGCTGAGTTTTGGTTCTGCGTAACAGTGCTTGAACCTGGAACAGAGGAATGGTAACCCTGGCGCTTACCTGATACCCAGGAGAAGCCTAAAATCTGTGCTAGGCATGTGTCTTCTCCTCAGCCTTCTTCCATAAGTACATTTTCAAGTATGGATATGGAAGCCTGTCTACCGGGACATCCAGACCATCACACATAGTCTGCAAACCAGTAACCAGACACAGCAACCTTTCAGCCACAGTTCATCTGGGGGCTGCTTGGGGAGGGAGTCTGCAAATTCAGGCAGATCACCCATTCCTTTCAAAACCCATGTATAGCAAGAACTAGTGGGATCTCTTATTGTCAAAGATTCCTGGTGACAGTGCTCTGGGGGGAAGAAAAATCCATTTTCCACAAATGTTACACATATTTGTAAAATCTGATTGCTATTTTAAAGGCTAATTTAAAACTTTATTGTAATGTCTAAGTTTTATACAGACCCGTCCACAATGTCTTCACATGTTCATATATAGCTCATGGCATATGTGCTATTATTTTACCTATGTGATAATAGAACAGTTGAAAAATGGTTTCATTTTACTGTCACATCAATAAGGGCTCCTGCTATGTAGTACCAAAACAGCTGTAATTCTCATATATCTTCTATTTGAGTTGTAGTGAAGTAACATTGACAGTCTGAGCATTACAACATAAATGGGAGATACTCTGTACTAGGAAAAAAGACAGTTATCCTAAATGGATATCATTATCCTTATCTGTCACTACTAGTAATTCTTAAATAGAAATTACCCTTAATATTTTTAAAAGAACACTGAAATCAAAAAAATAAAAGGAATCCTTCTCATCTCTGAATTATACTTTCAAAATTCTTATTTATTTTGCCTAAATATATATATTTTTTCCTTAACTATTGCCAGTAAAATATAAACCTTAAACTTTCCCCAGCTACAAAGATAACAAAGACTTTCAGTAGTAGATTGCTGATCTTGCTACCAACCATATTTTCTGTTTGGTTTGTTTTTTTTTTTTTTGTGTACTACATGGAATATTAGCTTATAGTCTTAACACTTTCTTTTGGAGTAACATACCAGGCCAAATTGTGCATTTACTATGCATTATGCACTTACGCTAATTCACAGGTATTTTTAAGATATTATATATCATAACATTGGGACAGATTTTGCAGTCTCCTATCTCTGTTTCATCCTACCTTCCCTTTTTTTAATGAGGTACATTAAAAGAATCACCTAAAACCACCACAACATGGTGAATTCTCACTTGCTTTCTTCACTTCTCTCACACTTAACCTACTGGGCAAAGACTTCATCAATAAAATGTGTTGTTGCAAACCTCCAGTGAACTCCCTCACAAAGCACTAAGATTAATCAGTTCCACCACACTCTGTGCTACAGAATTTGGATAAGAGCTTTAGAAGAAGCTGAAAAGAAGTTTCTTGTTTTGTTTTTTATTACACTTTCATGTGGTGTATAGGTTATTTATGTTAATTGTTCTGACACAGTATTATTGTGCTTTCCCATGTCTTTCCTATAGCTCTGTAGAGAGCTGCTTGACCTTGTACAATGCTCACCACCCAAGAGTGGTGTGTGAGAGGGGACAGCTGTATCTTATTCTGCATACAGAGGGGTGAATTGTCTCTTGGTGACTGTTGTAACTGCTGACAAACACTGACAAGGGCAGGCCTAACCAGCTAGCTTTTTGCAAAGTTATGCCAAAACAATCACAGAAGTTCTGTATGAAGCATTCATCTTCAGCCTCCCAGATGCCAAATACTCTGGATTTTTTTTCCACATGGATATTCCTAAACAAGCGCATTATTCAGGTACAAGATAACTCACTTGTCTATCTTGATATTCCATGCACCTTTTCTGCTAATATTTCCTCCTCTCAGCAACTACAACTACAATGCCAACACATTTCAGATTGGATGTGTGGATGACAGCTTAAGACAAACCCCCCCACACCCTCCAATAGCTATTTATGGTATGATTAGACAGGTCAAGTTTAATTTCAGCATTGTACATGAATTTGTTATCCAATCATTCTAATGATACACTACTTGAACCAGCAGTGGGGCTGAGTACGGAAAAAAATTTTGATTGTAACTTGTCTGCCGATGATTAGAGTTTATCATGAAAGAATACTAACGCAATCGTCATCCCTCTGCAAAGGTAGGGAATATTTGGGTCTTACCATTGTCATCATACCTGTAGCTGTGACAGATGAGTAGAGGCATGTCAAAAAGGATGCAGCGTTGCAGGAGGGATTGCTTTTCCTCAGGGTTAAGACAAGGGTATACTTAATCAAAATAGCATCTGAGGCCACACCTCGAATACTTTGTTCAGTTCTGGGCCCCTCACTACAAGAAAGACATTGAAATGCTGGAGCAGGTCCAGAGAAGGTCAACGAAGCTAGTATGGAGCACAAGTCTTATGAGGAACAGCTGAGGAAACTGGGGTTGCTTAGTATGGAGAAAAGAAGGCTCATGGGGGAGTTCATCTCTCTCTACAACTACCTGAAAGGAGGGTTGTAGTGAGGTGGAGGTTGGTCTCTTCTCCCAATTAACAAGCGCTCTCTTCTCCCAGCTAACTAACAGACAAAAGGTAACAGCCTCAAGCTGCACCAGGTGAGGTTTAGACTGGATATTAGGAACAATTTCTTCACAGAGAGGGTGCTCGGGCACAGAACAGGCTGCCCAGGGAAGTGGTGAAATCACCGTCCCTCGGAAGTGTTCACAAACCATGTAGACGAGGCCCTCAGTGACATGGGTTAGTGGTGGAATTGGCAGCCCTGGGGTAATGGTTGGACTTGATGATTTTAAAGGTCGTTTCCAACCCAGTTGATTCTATGATTCTAAAATAGAGCTAATCAGCTGAATATTGCTCTCCAGGTTACATAATCCAGCCCGAATCAACAAACTACCACTGGTTGTCTCAGAGAGTTTGTTTTGCTCTGCTATTTCATCAGTAGTTGCATGTGTTTGAACAGCTCCTGTGTCTAGTGGAAAGAGCCTCCTTACTGGGGCATAGGTTTCTGGATGTCACACATGCCCTGCCACACACCCTGGCAGGGCCTGAGCACCTCCCTGCAAACAGCTCTTCAGTCAGTGAGATGTACTCTTGATAAGGGAGGCAGCACTGCCAGGTCATAACAGCAACAGGCTGAATCAGTGCAGTCAGATCAAAATGTCAACACAGCCACTGCACGAATTCATCACATCTGCATGCTAAGGTTTCTTGCAGGGAAGTGAAATACGCCAGTCCAGGGCTGCTCTGTACAACTGCTTCGCCACTTTGAGGCTCTTTGGGATGTCTGTCTATCATCTATGGGAAAAAATCCCTGTCCCAACACTGACTGTGAGCAGTCAACAGTGTCAGACAGCAGGATTGAAACACTTGTGCCACAGCAAAACAGAGCCTCCATGTGTAGCCGTCCTGTGTCTGCACCCATTCACCCGTTTCCAGAATACCTCATGCTCCTGAATGTGCCAAACACAAGATTTGGCTCTAAGAGCTGACAGTCCCTACATAACTTCTGGAAAAACATAAACTGACAGATCACTTTTTTTTTTAATAATCCCCACTTACTCTGCTCTCCACAGAGCCAGGCACTGGTGTGCAGTCACCTCAGAATAAAATAAACTCTTGTCTTTTAAATCACTTGTTATTTCTGTGCTGGCTATAGAACTTCTGAGCTGCTGGCTACCTTTGTCCATCCCAGCCCTACCCACAACAGGCCTCCCCCACAAAATGTTAACAAGTAAAGCTGAGTCCTGAGGCTCTGAGGAGCTAGGATCAAAGTAGGGCTGGCTCCAGGCATGGCTCTGCTGGGACTCCCACCATAACCTAGTGACAATCCCCCCCATCCCAGCTTCCCCAGTGGCAGAACATGTCCCAGTACCCTAACTCAACTACCTGAGCAAACCTGTCTCGTAACACTTGTTAATTACTTGCATATTTCAGCTACTAAACAGTTTACCCTCCATACAGTATTTACCTGCCCCACAATGGTATGGCAAGCACTGATTAAAGACCTGAAGTGGTATGAGCCTGCAACCTCTTTTGGGGGAGGAGGGAAACACAGACACTCAACCCACACACCACATTCAGAAAACTGAAGAGGAATGTTCTGCTGCTTCCCCAGTGTCACCCCTCCTCCCTCAAACAATACCCAGGTCCTCAACAAGTAAAAGCCAAGTAAGAACTGTCACGCTGTGTACTTGAAACCGCTGGCAAGGAGGAGCGTTCGCTGCAAGGAAGCTGAAGCAGAGCATTCTCCGCAGACCTCCCGCCTTCATGAGAGCGCGGGGTGAGGGTGAAGCACCGGACCGCCCTCCTCAGCAACCTGCCTGTCGAGGCCCGCTGCTACCCGAACCGCGTTAATGGCGCCGGACGACACAACACCCCCGGCCCCGCAGGCGGCGGTTGAGCGGCCAGCGGCCACCGGGCTCCCCCTAGGGGCGGCGGGGAGCGGGCGGCGGCGTCGCGGGGAGACCGGCCTCAGGGGGGCTGCCTCGGCTCGGCCCGGCAGCTCCCGCGGTGGGGTGCGGGAAGCGCGGCCACCGCTGCACCCGCGGAGTAGCTAATGGTCGTTCCAGGTGCGGGTCCTCAAGGAGGGGATCCGTGCCTCCCGCAGGAGGGTTAGTGCCCACCAGGAAAGCAAGGTGGCAGCCGGGGGCTGGCACTGAGATCCATCGGCACAGGGGGTCGGGAGTCTCATGGCTGCTCTTTCAAACCAGGGCGGTCACTCCCTGATTCAGCGTGTGTTATAGCAGTCATAATAATAATACTAAATTCAGCAGTGATCATTGCATGGCCATCCCCCTTTGAAAGGCAGAAGGCTCTGGAATAACGTTAGCTACCTCAAACCACAGCTACCAACACATGGGGCCCATTAGCTCAAATATGATTTCCCCTGAAAAGCTGGTTAATCCAGTCTTCCTGCAGGCAAATTTAGATCGTCGTGCACTTTGCACGCCTGTGAAGTGCAGGATCGGGGCTCTGCGGCCGTGCTGCCATTGAAGATAATGGACAAAAAAGGCCGACCTTCTGTTGTGTGTACCGTGGTGACTCGTCAAGCGCTGGAAGCATGCCGCAGCTCTCAATCTTCGCCTCAGCCAGTGCAGTGCAAAGGAGACACAAGCCTCTGCAGAAAAAAAGGGTATCTGCGACCCATTGTTCGTGTGTTTGAGAGCATCAGGAAGCTGCTTACCACAGGAATCAGTCGCAGTTATAAGCATTGGTGGGTGCCGAAAAGCTTGAAGAGTAGGCTTCATCTTAGAATATATCTACATTGTAAATACATAAAGAAGAAAAGATTTGTTGTCTGACAGGCTGCTCGTGAGGTTTCAGGCTGTTATAAGCTGCTGCAGTTTGCTCCAGTCCCATGAATGTGGCACTTCAAAGCATGCCTCAAGAGTTTTCTGATAGGTGAATTTCTAGTTACCAGTGAAGCCCTGTCTATTCAGGCCTTGAAGACTGAGCACTAGGTCTGGAATTAGCATGGTGGGGGAAGAGGAAGGGCCCTAAGAGCCAGCAAAAATTACACCCCTTGCTTTTATTCATGCTGTAGAGAGTACTACCACGTCTGCTCTGAATAACGTCTGTGTTGCCTCAGACTTCAAGTCCCATTACAGGTGATTACAATAATCAAGAGATAACAAATTCACGAATCATCCTACCCAAGTCCTTGTATGAAAGAAAGGGCATCATTTCCGACAGACTGGATGTGGAAAAATTAATTTCCTGGCATCCAAACACAAGAACAGCCATGCTGGTTGAGACAAGTCCATCCAGTCCAATAGCCTGTCTCAAACAACAGCTGATGCCTGGGGAACAGCATAAGAGAGGGGTAAGCACGCAGTGATAGTTCCCTGGCATGCTGTCCCAAACTCCAGCAAGCTGCAGCTCAGGGACTTCCCTGAGACAGATGTGGTATCTTTAAATTTAATAGCCCTTGATGGATTTTTGCTTCCATGAATTTGTGTAATTGCTTTTTGAACTCATATCAATTTTTGACATTGCAGCATCCTGTGACAATTAGTGGCACGCTCCAAAAAAGCAGGGTGTAAAAGAAGAGCCCTTATTTTGTTTGTTTTGAACAGGCCACCTAATAATTTTATCTGATGCTCCTAGCTCTCTTGTTATGAGAGTCAATTACAATCATTCCCTATTTGCCTTCTTGGTGCCATTCATTATTTTGTAGACTTCTTTCGCATCCCACTCACATTTTCAGTTTTCAGACAGATACTTCTAATCTATTTTGAAATCCCAATACAATAGCCATCCCACATCCTGGACTTTCCTCTGGCTCCATCATTACTGTTTTTGAGCTAGTGGGCTTGAACGTCAGGATGTAGGCATATCAGATGCATTTATACGAGGACATAGCAGTGTTTTCAGTTTTGTTCCTTCCATACTAAATCCTAAAATTTTATTTGCCTTTTTGAATGCAGCTGGGGATGGATCTGGCATTTTCGTAAATATATCTAGATTTCATAGCACTTCAAGGATTTAATCTCTGAGATCTAACAGCTAGTCCAGTACCCTTGGCTCTGTATGTAAAGTTGTCTGTTTTGCTCATTATAGTACACATATCTACACTGAAATTCCTCCTTCATTTTATCACCCGATTACTCAGTATCATGAGATGGTGTTTTTGTCATGTGTCATGTTTTTACTACCATAAATAATACCGTGTCACCCACAAGTTTGCTACCTTGCTGTTCATCCCCTTTCTAGAGTATGAGTCCAGCAGATGGATTTGATACCTACTTAGAATTCTAGGAAAACCAGTGGGGTGCTGGGGAGGGAGGAAGTAGTGGGTACCTTGACTACTTTTTCTCTTTCCATCAGCACAGATTACATCTCACCTAGATTTGGATTGAGCCAGCTGCTCCTCAGGGAGGTCCTGAGAGGCTCTCTTTGACCCTGCAGCATATTTGGAGTGATGCTGGTGAAGGCTGGCTGGCATGAAGGCCAGCTGTTAAGCTGACATAACCAATTTACACTAGCTGAGGATCTGGCCAAAGACATGGAGTCCCAAGTGCTAGTCAGCCCATCACAGCAATGGGGACATCTGACACAGTAGTGCAGTGGCCTCAGCTGGACACTGTGGTGGAGGCAGATGGGATGGACTGAGTGGAGCCTTCAGGGCAATCCTGGGTTGAGGGCAAACCTGTGGAGGCAGCGCCCATCCTTTTGCCCACCTGGTGGTGGTATCATCATACCTTCCACCACACAAGACCTGACAGGTATGCTTATTATTAATAACGAGCGAGGCTTTTGGAAGCAGGCCTCATGCTTTCTCGCTGGTTGCCCGTGCTGAGTGAAGCTGGTCAGAACATGCTGCGAGCGGTACTCATGCAGCCAGAGCTGTCCCCGGTGCATCCCCATTCCAGCATGTCAGCCAAGCATTTAAGACACCTGCTTCTTTTCGTTCCTGTGCTGGCCATGGACTAATAGGGACAAACAGGAAGAGGACCTAGCAGAATGCAGAAAATAATCATCCTGTGCCAAAAGGGAATGTATGATCAAAACTACAATGGGCAGGCAAGCAGTGAGGCAGTGACCCGAGGCAGCGCAATGTGTCAGGAAGAGAGAGCAGCAGCCCAGGGACAGCAACAGCCCAGAGCCTCAATTTGTAATGACTGTGTGGACCACATGCCAAAAAGTCTCTCCCCACCTCCTTGCTCCAGGGAGCTCTCCTAATGTTCTTAGCCGCTTGGACATCATGAGAAAAAGAGCCTGCATGTTTCTAACACACAACCTAAGGCATCTGCTCAAGCAGAGAAGCACTGCCGAACCTGCCTCTAATGCAGAGTGCTCTAAACACCTGTGAGTCAGATGATGGGAAATTCTCCCTGTCCTCACAAGTGCAGATGACTTTGAACCTTCTGGGCATTTTAGCAGTTTACCATCTGCACATATAACCTTTTTTTCTGAGCACATGGAAGTCTTGTAGGAGGATGTTAAATCCAGGAACCAAAATAAGGAATCATGTTTACACCTGCTACATCTGTTCAAGAATTTCCAGCCTCTATTGCGCTTTTGACTTTCCCATTCCCCCTCCTCCTCCCTCCTGTTTGGTCAAATGCCACCATGTGAAAAACAATCCTGTATTTTTCCCCTAAGTTTCACAGACTTTCTATCAAATCTTGTGAAAACTTAGCAAATGAAATAAGCTGTGAAATGGTCTAGCTATAGAAGCAAGTGCTGCCTGCAGTATCTCTTGCTTATCCAGGATTGTCTGGATACTGGGATTGATTGTGAAGAAAAATGGGACTAACTACCAGAAATATGGTGATTTTAGTTTTTTTAAACTAGAATAAAAATGAACAGTCAAGCCATTTCTGATACAGATAAAATCTTCCTGCAGGCCAGGTGCAATAAAACAATTTAATAAAAAATAGAATTATAGCACACAAAAAAATCAACACAAAGAACAACATCATCTTTGTTAGCAGATGCCCCAGTCAATAGTAACTGGTTTGTTATAGAAAACACACTAGTATCTGCTGTCAGAGGTGATCTGTTTTGCTGAAAGAATTACCTATATGATTACACCTACCACAGAATCAGAGCCATAGATATGAAACATTTATGAAAAGGAGAAAAGCTGCTTGACTTGTTGGGAGTGATAGCAAAATAGTTTCTGCTGAGCAGAATTCAAAGGAGATTCCTTTTCCTTATTTTTACCAAATTTTATGTTAAGATTGTTATTGGAAATATTATACAATATTTCTCAGTGAAGCAAGTGCTTTCATTAAAATTATTTCCAGAGTAAATTTTTATAAATTTTATAAACAATCAAATTAGAATGTTGATAAGATGAGGCAAAATAGAGCAAGAGATGCAAAAAAAAATATTGGATAAATTCAGACATTTTTCTCTGAGTAATCTATTTTTGATAATGGCTTTTCTCTTGGAAGATTTACACTGGCTTTGTGACTACATGAGCTGGATTATTAATAATATGGGCAAGTTGGCAGTACTGGGAAAAATCCTCTGCTCCCCATCATTTCCCAATAAAGCACAGTTAATGGAAGAAAAATGCTTTCATGGGTCAGCAGGTAACTAAAGGAAGTACCATGTAGTGATTGTGGCATTTGGTGTTATGATAGGGCCTCTGTTCCTTTGAATTGCAGCGTGATGCTTATGTGACACATACTTTCTAAACAGCAAGAGAAATTAACAATATTAAGGTCAATATAGGACATATTTGGGAAGGGCTGAGGCAAGTCCTGTGGTCCTAACTCAGGCAAATTCTCACTGACAGGTCTTGGCCAATACAATCTGCAGGTGTCCACTTTCTTTCAGCATTTAGCACAGTATTCAACCAGAAGAAAACAGTTCAGTAATTCATTAGGATATGATCATGCCGGGCTGGTTACTAATTGTTCAAAATACCATTGGAGGCACTCCAGGATGCTGCACAGCACTCCACAGCTGGCAGCCATGGTACACAGGCGGGTATGCCACCCAAATAGAGCTGAATAGCATGGGAGCCGGGGGAGGAAAGCAAAAATTCCTTGCTTCCAAGCCCATGGGAACCTTCCTGTGCTGTGAGCAGGGAGCTGCAGGTGCAGAGGGCTGCAGGCAGGATGAGTGCAACACGCAACCCCACTGTCTCGTGCCGAAGAGAAATGTTAGTGGCAAAATAATTTTACTCCTGGCTGTCAAGTGGGAACTGCGGGGTTCCTCTCCTAACAATGAAAGGCAGACAACTGTGCATTAACAGCCCTGCCGGTGCACAAAGTGGCCTAGCCTGTTATTAAACTGTACAGCTAAAGCTGTTGTTCTCCACTTAGCTGAAAGTGAGTTACCATATTGCAGGTCCCCCAAGACATTCCCTACCCTTGACATATCCTCTCCCTCACATGAGTGGTAATGACTGGGATCAGATCCCTCAAGCTTCTGCCTGGGCTGCTTTACCTTGCTTTAGAGCAGCTTCTTTGAATAGAGAGAGCTGGTCTTTTGTTCCCCCCTTCTCTCTGCTTCCCCCCAACACACGCCCCAGCCTTTATTCCTGAAATACTTTTGTGGTTGTAAGGATCTTTCTCTGCAACAAATACAGCCAAGATAACTCAGTTGTCCTCTAAAGCAGGTTGCAGGTGGGGTTCCCATGCATAGCATAGGTTGAATTTTAAATGTATGCAAATAAGCATGAGTGTGCTTGACCCCGTAGCACAGAAGCATGAAAGCATGAGGATTTACTCACTGACAGTTTTTTCATGCACTTTTAAGTTCACATTTTCAAATTTGGCTCTGGAACTAAGAGAACTGTAGTAATAACAAGATTTCAACATCCTGGGAAATTTCACAGCCATACTGAGTAAAGACTTGTGCCTAAAAAGCTGTACAAAGAAGATGTAGATGTATTTTGTTACACACACATTCCTGGTTTGTTTTTTTCTAAGGAAAAGATCTGCTTAGTATTAATCTCACTTCCTCAGGATAGACTGGATGGCCTTCACACATAGTGCCGTAACAGATAAAATCAGTCCTTTCCCTCACAGCCTTTCTCTGTCACTGCTTGGCTTTGCTTGTATTGTGTGTATCTAGTCTTGATCTGTCGCTTTCTCCAAGGCCAGAAAAGTAAACTCATCCTCCTGACTCATAGCTCCAGATGGATTCAAGCTCAAACACGCTGTCCCCCTGGAATTTGGCATATGTAGGTTTATATGCCCTAATCAATCAGGCTGATTTCAGTTAATCCTAATCGTCCTATTAGGGTTCCCAGATAGCAACAACAGCAGCTAGAAATCCCCAAGCAGCCTAATTGACTTCATCTAATTACATTCCTTCTTGAGATTTCCATTAAACTACCCCCTGAATTCATTACAGTGGTTGGCTGTAGGTTTTTAGGACTTCTTCAAAAACATATGGGATGGCTCGGTTCTAGGCAGCCAAAGTAGTTACTATATATATAAGACCTTGCCACCTCCACATAGTAGCTATTTGTCAGTCGTCCTGCTTTAGCATATATCAGATGTGCCGTCTAATCACTGTGGGAGATACCAGTTTTGACTTCTGGCACTTAGGCTCATTTCTGCCATGTGCTGCCTGTGGTTCTTTCCTTGTAGCACTGAATGAACCACACAAGTCAGAGACTGCCAGCTCCTATTAACCTTTCACATAAAGGATTTATAGATATGTCTCATTATAAGGTAAGGAGCTGACATTCATCTCAAAAGCAGTTTGCCTGGAAAAGAATGCTCTTTTGTCAGTATTTACCTTCCTCTGTGCTCTTTCTGTGGTAGTAAATTGTAAACTGCTCAGCCAGGATGGCATTTGTCATAGTGAGGTTTCTTTAGCTAATTTGATCATTTCTTCCATTAAAGTAATGCTCTGGCTTCCCAAATGTTGCTAAGCTTTCAGTTCCTGACATTTGCAAAATGCAGTAATATAGCCCTTAAACAAGGCATGGCTATCTTTCACCCTTGGAACTTAAAAGAGAGAACTTCTGGGGCAAGGATAAAATTGTTGAGCCCAGGCTGGTTTCTTCTGTACATGCAAATGAGAGCAGCTTCCATGAAACCCGGGAAGGCTGGAAGCACAGGATCCTTTTCATAGGTGATTCCACACACAGTATGCATGCATATCAATGCTTTGAATGGAGTTCACTTAAGAATGAAAACAAAATACACAGTACACGCTGGAAGACAGGCACTTTGACAACTGTCAGGCTGGAAAGTGCTTTATATGTAAGACAAGTCGTTGTGTTCAGTCTGTTTGGAAACTGATGCCACTGCTCGCTTTTATGGACAGTTCCTCTAGGTGGAATGACACCAAAATCATTCACACAGAAACTGCCAGACTGATGTCAGTAAGACAGCTGAGTGTTCAGGTTCATTGGAAGGAATACAATACTTTCACTAAAATAAAACCTTTGACCATGCACAGAGGAAGCAGGTCGGAAAGGAACATACTAGTGCCAGATATTTACTCTTGCATCTCTGCTTCACAGAGGGTGTGTTCCCTTTCAAGGCAGAGTCAAGGACAGTCAAGAACTTCTGTGTGAATAACACCTGATTGCTGCAGAAAACAACCGTACTTAAGACAAACAGTGTATGTGGTGAGTTTAACTAAGTTTAAGACTTTGTACATCACAAAGTGATAAAGTGATGATGGGGGAAGATTATATTTTACAAAAATATTGATGTTTATACTAGATTAATGGCTGTTTGCCTGTAGAGACAAACAGTGAACCCAGTATCTATCCAAGGTCAGGCTGTGTCCGCATTGCAGACACAATAAGTAACTAGAAAGTTTTGTGCACAAGGATTTGGCCTAAATTGGTATTTCTAAGAGCTGGCTAAGGTTGCTAATTACTTCTCTGAATAACTTTGAACTGACGCTTCCTGAATCATTTTCATTCCAGGGGGATTAGTAAATCTTTTTAGTAAAAGGAACACACAACAAAACTTATAAAATGCAGTTACAAAAACTTCCTGTAATAACTGAATGTCAGTTTGGGGCTACTTTTCTTGCTTTTCTTGTTCTCTTTAGGCACTAACATATAAAAGGAAGCTGGGGATGGGAGGAGGGGAAGAAGTAGGAAGGAGGGGGGAGAAAAGGCCAAAAGCAAAGAGAATACAAACTAGGACTGAAGAAAACCTTAAGTGCCTTCTCAGAATTGGAGACAACAGTGACTTTATCAGAGATGCAGACAGTACTTTGTAGGCACTGGGAGAATCAAAGGTCTTCCACTCACCAGAAACACTGGCTGAGGCTCTTTGTATTGTTTCAAGCAAACACAGGCAGGCTTTCTACAAGTGCAGTATACAGTTGGATGCAACTTAACCTTATGTAAAACACTTGACTCCTTATATTAAATATTATGCTTTCCAGATTATTTACATGACACAAACAAGGGAGGGTCTCAGTGATTTTGGGGGGTCACTTTTAGACTCTTTGGGAAAGCACACCTTTGCTGTGTGGCTTGGTTTTAAATTTTAAACATTCTGACTTCAGTCCAGAAAAGTCTGAGCTGACATGTTTCTCCTGCTGATATGCAGAAATTCCACATCCTGAACTTCTTCCTTTTCATCAAATGATCAAATGATGTGGTCTAACCCATCTTTTGTCCCTCCTGCTAAAGTACAGAACCACACAGAAGAATGGAAAACATGCAAATAAAAAAAGCTCCTGAAATTGTGAGGAGCAGAAGTGGATTATGCTAACTCAGGTAACACTTCTTTTGAAGCACTTAGACACTGATTTCGTAGAATCATAGAACAGTTAGGGTTGGAAAGGACCTTAAGATCATCTAGTTCCAACCCCCCTGCCATGGGCAGGGACACCTCACACTAAACCGTGTCACCCAAGGCCCTGTCCAGCCTGGCCTTGAAAAATTTGTTCATCCAGTCACAATTTCCACCTCTCTCTGTGGGTGTGGACAGGTGTCTATTTGCCTGTTCTCAGAAAGAAATCTCTGAAAATGTTACACAAAGAATCTGCTCAGTAGGGCTGAAAGCTTCTCAGTGTTTGCTTGGGATTTTTAAGAGCATGTTATTTGTAGGCCCCTGGTACTCAGTTGGGCATAGCTTTTGGGGTCCAAAGCCACATTAGGCAGAAGTGCTTAGACGCTGTGGGAAGCCTCCAGATTTCATCATCCATACTATCTCCTGCTGGTACCAGGACAAGTTCTCTACCTGTTTCTGGTTCACCACTCACAGCTGTGCCTACACTCACAAATGCAACATAGCTGCCGACCTGCATGTGGGGAACAGCTGGCTCCCCAGGAAGCCCACGGAAGTCAAGGGGAGGACAACATTAGTGAACGACAGACTACGGGGAGGTCCCCAAAGTGCACTTTTGTTCATCTAGTTAGCCATCAATTTCACCGGCTCAGCGTGTTGGCTGACAGCTCCCTGAGGTTTATGAAAAACAGGAGGGCACATTGATGCTTTCTGTTGCGCCAACTGGGACAACCGGAAAATGGTGACATTCCCAATTTCATGGATACAGTACTGTCTTCCTTCCCTTACAAACAAAAGGGCTGCATTTTTTTTGCTCACAGTAATGCTGAGCATGTCACAATCTAAGGAGGCTAGAGATAGGAAATGGCTTATTCTGGGGGAGAAGCCAGTGCTTTCTAGGAGAGGGGTGGGAAGCTGGGATGCCTTATATATCTGACAGTGGGTGCTCAGTGTGATTTTGAGATCCAGGGTGGTTCTGCTGAGGAGGCCAGGTCTGGGGGTGGGCATATCCTCAGTGCTCTCAGACCAGCTGACCAAAATCCTTCGGTGTGAAAATTAATCCTTAGCATTTCCTTCAGTGGGACTGTCTGTGCACAAATGGCCTGTGTGAGGGATAAAGGTGGACCCTACAATATCTCTTCCTTTGCCTGTCATATATTTTCTTTACTGAGACAAGCAAGATGAAAGAAAAAATCTCCTGTTCCTGCAACGTGAGCTCAGGCAAAGTTGATCTCACTGTGAGAAAGCATTAGCTTCTTAATTTGTGCTATTGAAACTGTCTGTGGACTTCCATTTGGTTGGGAAAGGAACTCCAAAGTAAAACAACTGCCATGCAGGGGAGGCTGCAGATGGCTCAGTAGTAACACACATACTGTACACCTGCACATGTTTGGCACAGAAGGGTTTGAGTGCAGATTTGTGAGCTAGCCAAGGGAAGACAGATTTATTTTTTTGAGGAGGCGGGAAGATCAGATCACCTCCAGGTGCTACCCTGATAAACACAGAGAATAACTCACCAGTCCTCTACAGTTCTTCTCTGATCAACTTTATCCTTGAGATAGGAATTAGAGGGACAGATATGTTATCTGGGAAGTTGTCCAGATTAATTTACAAGGAAGTTAGATACTCAGCATAGGCCTGCTGTAAATAGGTTATTGGGGGTTGGTTTCTTCTCCCCCTTTTTTTTTTTTGAGGGAGGAGCGTGTTTGTTGTTTGTAACAGTATCATAGGCAGTTGGGACACCAGACACAGCTCAAGCTCCCCAGTTCTTTCGTAACTGCAGATTTTGGGACCTGGATGTAGTTTATTAATAGGCAAACCTCTCTTCATTTTGCTTTTTAGGTCTGCTCTGCAAAATGAAATTCAAAGAGATTTTGTAAAATAACCAAACACTCAACCCCCCTTTATTTCATTCAGAAAAAGTCCTCCTCCAAAAGTCTGTGTTAGGGAGGAAGCTCTGAGGGTATTTTGCACTAGCTCCAGGAGGCTGAGTTCAGCCTGCAGTACAGAGAACAGCAGCAGGTGTCCTGCAGCTCCTACCCAGAGCCCAGCAGTCAGCAGCAGAAAATGGGAGGTCAGCAAGAACAGCGTGAAATGCTCATCCATATTTCTTCGTGCCATGTACCTCTCAGCTACCATGCAGCCCACAGTCCTAGCTGGCTGTACTTTTTAAGGCAGGTATAGCCCAGCTTACTTAGGTTGGACATATCACCGTGGGGGGCATCACAGTCCCTGAGCTACCTTGCTTGGAGCAAGTACTGCTACACGGCACTGAGCTGTTCCACCTGGGTGTGCCCTTCCTTAAAACCTTCTGGAGTTTCTGCCCTGTAAAACAGAAAGGTCTTGAGAGAGGTGCATGCAGAAGGAGAAAGATAAGAAATGCTCATCATTGCTCCTGTTGTTTCAACTAAAGCCCACAGGCAACATGTCTGGGGGTGGAGCAAAGCCCTTTCTTTACAAGGTGGTCATAGCAGTTCAATGTTGTTTTTAAAACCAGTGATTAAACTAGTGTAAACCACTGTGTGGTTGCTGTCACTTCAATTTAGCATTGGCTGGTATGGATGACAGCTTGCATCGATTCTTGTCTGTCTAATCTAAATTGATACAAGCCTGATTTCAAATGAACTAAGCCTGTCTGAAGAGTGTTATGCACTTTTTTAAGCTCATGAATTTAAAAGAAAACCTTTGACCAAAAGGCTGCAGGTTTTTCACAAAGACAAAACTCACAGCTCAATACTGATTTTGACAGTTCTCTCATTAACCTTCACTGCAGACAGCTGAGGAAAGTTATTTAGGGAGCAAATGGTCAATACTTTGCCTAAGTAAATATATAACACAGACAACCTAGAAAGAGATACTTATTTTGCGTGACAGCAAGAAGAATGAGAAATGATAAGCCAGAGAATTCATCTAGAATACTTTCTTCGTTCTAAGTAAGCTTCTCTATAGACAAAATGAACACCAAAGTAAGCCTAATGCTACATGAAAAGGCAAAGACATTACTTCTGTCCTCTTTTTTGGACTGTTCTTAAACTCTTCAGAGCACCCAGTTCTTTCTCCTTTCAGCTGAGCAGGACAGACTGCTGATCTCACCCAGCACTGTCACATATCTGGGGCTGAAGGAACCATGCAGTGTTGAACCATATGAACAGAACTAAAGGAGAAAAGGACAGAGGAAGCAAACAGGAAATGCAAACACAGAGGACCAGAAGAGTGAGACTGCAGAGAAAGACTTCTCAAGGGTTTGATTGGCAGCTGGTGTGCTTGGACAACTAGGACAAAAAGCTGTGGTGTACACACAGTTCATGTTGTATGCAGTGCTTTTCTGCCAGTGTTCAGGCAGTGCCTGACACAGGCCTCTGAGCGTAAGCAGTTGTGTGTGCACTCCTTCCACATTTTGGGACAGCCGGAAGCAAGTGCCTCCAGCCCAGAAGCAGTGTAGCCAAGTCAGCTTGGGTTCAGCACTATGCTATTCATCCAGCTTGATAGAGGAGATAGATTACTCCAAGCCTAGCTCTCCACCGCACCTTGCTGTGGTGACTATGCAGACGTACAGGGCAATATCCTCTATGGGATGCAACACATGCAATTGCAGGCACTGGCTCTCAGCAAAATATTTCACCTGCTTCATCTCCTCCTGAAAAGCAGGAGGACTGCTACATGCATGCGCCTGTGCAGAAGGGAGAGCCAGCCAATTCAAAGTCACATGGGTATGCTTTTTAAAGAAAAGTAACAAAGTTCACTTCTCTTCACAATTATTTTTAATATTTTTCTTTCCAAGCTCTCATTGCATGTGTTGGCTTAAGATCACATAATGCAAAACTTTCAAATTGTTCGTAATGCTCAGGCTTCCATGGACCTTTATCAAGCACAGCCAGGTAAAATCCAACAACAAGCAGGAAAGAAATGTCAGAAAACATATGATGTTTGCATACCTTAAAATTCCATTGGGGAGAGGGAAAAATAAACTAACAAGTGCAAACAGCAGACCTTCCTGTTCACCGTAGCTGTGTTCCAGCAGACTGGTAGTTCTCACAGCTTCAAGAAGGCTATGTTAACCTGACACAGAAAATGGCTACCATTTCCAGGTGCCAAACTGCAACCGTCCTTGCGGTTTGACAACCAGAAGCACAGTGCTTAGTTAAAACAGACAACTTTGCTCCAGCCTGGCAGAAGTGATAAAATACATAATGAAACTTCAGAGTGAGCTACTCTCTCTCTCCTACTCCCCTTTTTTGCTATATTTTTCCTCTGGTGGGTTGAGGTACCCAGTTGGAAATCCCAAAATAGAGGAAATCCAGGCAGAAGAGCCTATCCAGAAGCCTGCTGTTTCACTCGATCAGCAAAGCTTTGCCTCTGGGCTGAGATGTAAAAGTTCTTGGGGTTTTGCACTCCTCCCCCGCAAAGCTTGGCCTGGTTTGTAGTTTTGGAATAAATATGGAAAAAAGAGCCTGTCCCTTTAATGCAGAGGAAGTGAGAAGGGCAAAACTGTTCCCAAGAAGTCAGTAAAAGTGGTAATGCCTATTAATGATTGCAGCAGAGTGTTTTTCAGTTGCCCTATTAAAGGAGCTCTTTGTCCTAATAAATACCAACGAAAAAGCTTGCTCTCAGAGCACCTTCCCTGTACTTTATTTATAATGAGCCTTCTAATGAGTACATAGTGTTTATGCTTCCTTGAGAGACTCATCACTCCCTCTCTCAGTCTGTTATTTAACATACAGTACTCCATGAAGGTGTCCCACTTCATCCCCAAAGCCTCCCCAACCCCTCCCACACACAAACGTTCGTGTAACTGTTTCAAGGGCATATGCAACTGTGAAGGAAAAGTGAGCACTGGAAAAGAAGCAGACATCCCAAATGTTACGCCCTGCAGAGCAGGAAGAGGAGCAGGCAACCCAAATTGTCAGTATGGCAACGTAGGCCCACCAAGGACAGCTCTAAAGCAGTTCCTACATGTCTTCTATCAGGAGTGTTCTTCCATTGGTACTTAAACAGGTCATAACCTGTCTGTAACATTGGTAAAATACCTGGTAAACCAGAGTAATTTGATTGTGTCAGCTGGGTGTCCTAGCCCTTAGTAGCTACTACTGACAACAAGACCTAAGAGTGCTCAGCCACTGAGATTCATAGGTGTCTTCCGCTGGTAACAATATGATAAAGCAAACCTGTTCCTCTTTGATGCCTAGTTTTAGGGGGATTGTTGAAATAAAGAGCTCACTTGTCAAGCAGCATTTTTGCCAAAGCTCCTCATGGCTACAATTTGCCATGGCACATTCTGTATCTGGCTGTGTGATTCTGTATGTGTGTGACATGAGTTGAATTAATAACTCTGTGAGGCTTTATGTGGTTTTCTCTTGCCATTTGAAGTCATGCCTTGAGACTGGGGGATCCTACATGAGACAACCCTAATGTGATCTTGTGAAAGAACAGAAGTAATTTATGTTACCAGGGTGCCTGAGAAAAAAAGGGAGACTATTACAGGGTTGTTCCATTGCCTCAGGCCAGGAGATACACTCTGAAGACTCTCTTTTATTCTGTGTTTTTCTTTTAAGCTTTGAAGCTAAGAATAAAAGGGTTTCCCGTCCTTAAGCATATCAGTTACCTATCCTCTTTCTAAGCCTCTGCAATACCTGTTTCCACAGGAAACCAAAATTAGGCAGAAGAAGATTACATAAGGAGATTTGGTATCAGTGTTTGACATTGACTCTTTTATTTGCTGTCCATCATAAACAGAACCCCATAAGCATAAAATAATAACAGCAGTAGTCTTTGTGGTATCTAGCACATTGGCATTTAGAAAGTCAAAGTTGTGTTTGGGATTAAGAAATTAATGGAAATAAAAGGGCTCTTTGATCTGGAAGCATAAAAGAAAGATGCTCCTCAAAAAATATTTTTCAGTGCTTCATGCAAGCAAGCAGACTGATGATTCACTTCATCTTGTTTGGAGGGTGCTTCATTATGTAGCTGAGCCCCAGTGGCAAGGGACGATGGACTCCTGGTCCTCTCACACCTCATCTTGGGCTTTGAAAACTGCACTGATCAGGAGAAAGATAGTTCCTAATCAAACTGGGGTGTCCTGTGTAGCAAAGGCTTGAACCTTTTGTTCTCCTGGAAATGAAGCAGCACTGGGAGCACTGAAGCAGCACTGCTTCTGGGAAAGATTTGAGCACAGGCTTGAACCCTTCAGAAAGTGTACAGCCAATTTCTAAACAAGCCAGAACTTCCACACTCTGTTCACATTCAGCTTCAGATGTGACACAACTCAATAATCTATCCTGGAGATGACAAAAACCATCTGATCCTTGTCTGGACCATGTTTCCAAGCAAGCAGAAGAGAAAATGCTCTGAGGAACAGATGATACCTTGCTGAGAAAATAAAAATATGTCTATGAAGCATCTGTACTCCCAGTGTCTGTTCACCCACTCTATCTCTTCAACTTTTCTTTGGATGAAGAAGAAACAAAACACCAGAGAGCTCACCTGCAGAGAAGGGAAGATACATTTCAGCCTTTCTTATCAGAGAATGGGACAGTATACCCAAATTTTTGTGAAGGACATCCAGAGGATTCAGCAAGGTGTGAGGGAGCAATCACAACTATAAACCTCAAAACACGGCCACCGTCAGAGCTCCAGTGGATTTTTCAAACTTAAACTGTGCGCCTGCTTTTAATAGCTGGCAATTATTGCTGACTCAGAGACCATAAGGATGAAATTAGAAATAAGATGCACCTTCAGCCTTGATCTGGGACCTTTCTTTCTCATTTTTTGAGAGTTGTGATGCCCAGAGAGGTTTGGATTATACCCACTGCTGTATGAAATGATGACTCCAGGACAGCACTTGAGGGGCTTCAGTCCCTTTCCCTTAGGAAGCCAAGTGTGGTGAACAAGGCCCTGTGTGCTTTGAGAGATCCCAAACTGTTTTACTTAATGATATCATAGACAGGCGGATATTACAGTGTGCAAATAAGTACACTTAAAGCAAAGTGTGTTTCCTATTCACTTTACAGTCAGGCATATCTAAGGGTCTAAGCCTTGTCATTAGGTTAGGCCACTTTCTAGTATACATTGCACAACAAGGAGTTGTGCATTACCTTCAGAGCCCACTAAAAATCCACAAGCCCATTTCTGTAATAGAAGACACTAAGAATTTCAACAGAAGTAAAAATGTGCTCTAAACCAGTGGCAGAACAGCACTTGAGCATAATACATGTACAGAAAATGTGTATATTTAATGTATGTATATATCTACTGATTTATTTAACCATAAATCATATAAATTGGTTATAAGACTTTCCTCAAGAACATAGCTAATGTTTTGGTTGGTCATTATAAACAGCATTTGATCTTAGGCGTGTGCATACACACATGTATGTTTTTGTGTGTAATGACACATTCTGAATCATTGAAACGATGGGCAAGTCTTCTACCTCCCAGCGTTTCCCCACAGCATGTTATCTCACAGTTTCATGAAACTTGCCAAGTCCTTCGATACTTGTATACTAGTTATTCTTTCATTACAAATACATCACTTACAGCTAATGATTAGTTCGTATGAGTGAAGACTGTAACCAGTACCTAGCTCCCAGAATAGCAAGAAAAATTACTTTTGTGGGCTGTTTTAATATGATGACATTTACAGTCTCTGCCCAGGAAGATCTGAATTATTAGTAAGGCTAAATGCATGAAAGAAGGAAGCTTGGATTATCTTCACTGAGCAGATCATGTGTTCACAACAGCAGAAGGGTGCTGCTTTCTTACAGCAGCTTTACCAAATGTCCAGTGAATCTTGTACACAGTAAATAAAGTTCTTGCTTTTAAAGATGGTGCTGGGAGGAGTTTATTCTCTCTGGCAATTGAACATCAACTGTTCCAACTTATCAAAAGAGAAAAGCTGTTTTAATTGCTGTACTACCCAGAAGAAAAACATTCATTTTAGTATCCATTTTTATCTACAGTGTTCTTCAGGCCAAGATAAACCTTTTTCCATCTAACTGCTACCAGAGGTTGTTTTTTTTCCAACAATTAATTTCCATCTGTTTCATCACCTAAGCAAGGACTCAGTAGTCTATTTTTTTTTTTAAGGCATGGGTTTTGGCAATGCCTTTCATTTTGTCTGGGTTTTGTATGAAACAATACTTTCTGTAGTTCCTCTGGAAAGAGGAGAAAGTAGTGGGAAACGGGTGGAAAGGACACATCGCCAATTTGATTTTGTTCTGTTGATTAGAAGCACTAGAAGTAACTATTCCAACTCTGTCTCACTGTTTGTTTCTGCTGTTAGGGTGCTTGAGTGATAAGGAAGAGTTCTTTTCTCCTCCTCCTCCTATCTGGCTGAAAGGGTTGTATTTAAATAATGGTTCCCTTAGTCCTGTCTGTTCTGCAAGTTGATGCTAAAGTGGTTGCTTCTTTATTGTTAAAGTAGATAATAATTTTTAAATGCAGAGCTTTCACAGCAGGCAGCTGAATGGCTGGACAGATGGCTGGGTTGTTATTTGGGAGTCCCTGAGCTAGCAACTCCTTAGTCATCAAGGTTCTCCAATTATTGTCATCTCCCACTTACATGTGTCTCCATTGATTCATATCAATATCACAAAGGACCATTTTTTGGATTTAACCCTAACAAACAACAATGGCAGAAATGTACGGAAATAGCAATTTATGATAGCCGGAAGTGGCCCCTATCATTGGAACTAAGATTAGCTATTGCTTTTGTTGTTGTAGGTTCAGCAGTTCACAGTAAATGGCATTCAGCATTGATGACAAAAAGAAAAAAAAATCAGATATTTTAACAGCAAGGCATTAGTACAGACTTCTAAAAACAAGACTGTCAGGGAACAACTTCTTAATCTCATTTGAATTCAAATGCAGCTTTACACGTGTTGGTTACATATGGTTTTTCACATTAAGATGTAAAGTTTATACAAATACAAGGTGTGAATGGTTCCCCTGAGTGCTGATGACAAATATTCCAGTATCAACACTTAGCTGTTAAGCTTACCTTAAAACTTGTTGGAGTGGTAAGCTTCTGGTAATTTCTCTGCCAGCATTAGACAGGAAACAGTGGAGCTTCTGTGTACTTCTCACAGATACTAACTGGAGCTCAGACCATGTATGAACTATCCTTCTCCTGCTGTTCCAGCTGGCTGATAATTCATGATTAAAGATCCACAACATGCGAAGTCAGAGCCCAGAATCATTGAAGGAAGTTGAATAAATAAAAAGGCCTTGGAAGTCATGTGAGTAGACAGCAACAGTCTTAATTCAAAGGAACCATTAAAGTCAATTAATCCTTCTTGACTGGGACTATAGCTGCAGATTATTTTTTTTTTAATATATAGTCTGTCAGGAAGAAGATTTCCAACAAGACTCCAATAAAATAAATTGCAAAAGAAGAGAAAAGAAGAAAATAAAAAAATAACATCCCTACTTTTAAAGGTCTCCTAGATATCTTGATATTTCACTAATGGGTGTAGCAGAGATACTAGAATGCCCAGTTTCCACAGATGATAACTTTATCTGGCATAGTCATCACAGTGATCTCAGACCAGACAAGGAGAATAAACAATTGAGCTAATAAGGCTTTTCCTTCTGCAATTTCTTTAACTCCTGGTGATCTGTAACACTTCTGTGGAAATGATGGAGACTTTTTAGTAATGGAAACCTAAGTCAGTTTTGTTAGTGAAAACCTGGGGGATTTTAGCCAGAATCAGAAGAACACAAATTAATTCTCTGTATCAGATTTCATTACAGGAAAGATTATGGAATTTTTCACAGTGGAATCTGAAGGAATGAGTCTGAGCAAATGTTTAATATCAAAATGTCAGTAGAAGAGGTTTTAAAATACATCATAACAATTAATAGTAAATCCCTACATTCATGTGGTGTTACCCAAAAGTTCAGAAGAAAATAAAATATTGAAAACTGGTCTCCATCTCAGACATACAGAAAGTGGCAGAAGTGATACCACTATTTGAAAAATGGTTCTGGAACAGAGGTGGTCCAGAAAACTAGACACAATTTGTTTGGTTTCCAGACCAGATATACTACTTGCAACTAAGAACATAATATATTTACACATGGATAAATTCAATATAATGGCACAGTCAACAAAGCTTTTGAGGAAGGAAGTCACACCACCAAAATCTATGAATGTTGACAGAGGATAAACAGATGGAAAAGGGTGACCACACTGGTACAGTTTACTTGCATATCCAAAAGTTTTTTATGAAGTCTTATAGCAAAAGATGAGATTTTCATGTGGGGTGGTAAATTGGTATAAGATAAGAAGCAAAGGACTATAGGACATGAAGGTGCATAGGACTTGCTGAGGTGCATCTGTGGATCCCCAGGGAACTAGAAGATGAAGTTGCTAAGCCACTATCCATCATATTTGAGAAGTGGTGGCAGTCCAGTGAAGTTCCCACTGACTGGGGAAAAAAAAATGCTAGGAGGATTAGCCAGGTTAATAACTGGTTAAAAGGGTGGTGTCATAGTCAGGGGTTTGGGTGCCTTGAACACGGGACCCAAGTTTGTAGGCCAGGTCTAGTGGGGGCTGGTGGAGCTGGTCTGATAAAGAAGGGAAAGAGCAGTTTTGGTAGGAGGCTTGCTAGATTGGTCAAGGAGGCTTTAAACTAGGTGTGTTGGGGGAGGTGGGCATCATTCCATCCCAACACACCCAGTCAGTTGCCAGAACCTATAATAAATGCTTGGAGCAATGTTGATATATCCCAGCCGCTCCAGCCAATGAGCCGGCTTCATTTGGAGCTCAGCTCAGGTGCCTCTAAACAAATGCCCGTAGCATGGGGAACAAACAAGAGGAATTAGAGATGTGTGCATGTCTGCGGGGTATGATATAATAGGCATCACAGAAACATGGTGGGATGGCTCCTATGACTGGAGTGTTGGAATGGAAGGTTACAGGCTCTTTAGGAAAGACAGGCCTGGCAGGTGGGGAGGGGGAGTTGCCCTTTATGTTAGGGATAGGCTGGAGAGTATGGAACTCTGTCTGGGGACAGGTGAGCAGTCCACAGAGAGTTTGTGGGTCAGGGTTAAAGGGAATATAGCTATGGGAGACATTACTGTGGGGATCTGTTACAGGCTGCCTGATCAAGAGGAACCTGCGGATGAAGCACTCCATAGACAGATAGGAAAAGCCTCACGCTCGCAGGCCCTTGTTCTCATGGGGCACTTCAACCACCCTGACATCTGCTGGAGAGACGGTACGGCCTGGCACAAGCAATCCAGGAGGTTCCTCAGTTGTGTGGAAGACAACTTCCTTCTGCAAGTAATAGAGGAACCAACAAGGAGAGGTGCCATGCTTGACCTCATGCTGGGAGGGGCTCATTGGAAATGTGATGCTCCAGGGCAGCCTTGGATGCAGCAATCATGAGATGGTCGAATTCGAGATCCTCAAGACAGTGAGAAGAGCATGCAGTGAGTTCACTGCCCTGGATTTCAAAAGAGCAGACTTTGGCCTCCTCAGGAACCTGCTTAGTAAGGTTCCATAGGATATAGCCCTAGAGGGCAGGGGCGCCCAAGACTCTTGATTGATATTCAGCTCTGACCGCACCACCCAAGTCTTGGAAGGCAGACACAGGGACTGTGAGAATGAAGACCTTAGGCCAGCTGTAGGAGAGGATCTGGTTTGAGACCATCATAAAAACCTGAATGTGCACAAGTCCATGGGACCTGATGAAATCCATCCGCGGGTCCTGAAGGAACTGGCAAATGAAGTTGCTAAGCCACTGTCCATCATATTTGAGAAATCATGACAGTCAGGTGAAGTTCCCGATGACTGGAAAAAGGGAAATATAACCCCCATTTTCAAGAAGGGGAAAATGGATGACCCAGGGAATTACAGACCAGTCAGTCTCACCTCTGTGCCTGGCAAAATCTTGGGGCAGATCTTTCTGGAAGGCACGCTAAGGCACCTGAAAATCAACAAGGTGCTTGGTGACAGCCAGCATGGCTTCACTAAGGGGAAATCCTGCCTGACCAATTTGGTGGCCTTCTATGATGGGGCTACAGAACTGATGAACAGGGGTAGAGCAGTTGATGTCATCTGCCTGGACTTGTGCAAAGTATTCGACACTGTCCCACATGACATCCTTGTCTCTAAATTGGAGAGGCATCAATTTGAAGGGTGGACCACTCGGTGGATAAAGAACTGGCTGGATGGCTGCACACAAAGAGTTGTGGTCAATGGCTCAATGTCCGGCTGGAGACCAGAAACAAGTTGTATTTAACATCTTTGTCGCTGACATGGACAGTGGGATTGAGTGCGCCCTCAGCAAGTTTGCCGGTGACACCAAGCTGTGTAGTTCCGTTGATACATTGGAGGGAAGGAATCCAGAGGGACCTTGGCACGCTTGTGAGGTGGGCTGATGCCATCCTTATGAAGTTTAACCATGACAAGTGCAAGGTCCTACACCTGGGTTGGAGCAATCCCAGGCACAGCTACAGGTTGGACAGAGAAGAGATTCAGAGCAGCCCTGTGGAGAAGGACTTGGGGGTGCTAGTTGATGAGAAAATGAACATGAGCCGGCTTCAGTGTGTGCTCGCAGCTCAGAAAGCCAACCGTATCCTGGGCTGCATTAAAAGGAGCGTGACCAGCAGGTTGAAGGAGGTGATCCTGCCCCTCTACTCTGCTCTCCTGAGACCTCACTTGGAGTATTGTGTGCAGTTCTGGTGTCCTCACCATAAAAAGGACATGGAACTGTTGGAACAAGTCTAGAGGAGGCCAGGAGGATGATCAGGGGACTGGAGCACCTCCCATATGAAGACAGGCTGAGAAAGTTAGGGCTGTTCAGCCTGGAGAAGAGAGGGCTGCGTGGAGACCTCATAGCAGCCTTCCAGTATCTGAAGGGGGGCTATAGGGATGCTGGAGAGGGACTCTTCATTAGGGACTGTAGTGATAGGACAAGGGGTAATGGGTTCAAACTTAAACAGGGGAAGTTTAGATTGGTTATAAGGAAGAAATTCTTTCCTGTTAGGGTGGTGAGGCACTGGAATGGGTTGCCCAAGGAAGTTGTGAATGCTCCATCCCTGGTGGTGTTCAAGGCCAGGCTGGACAGAGCCTTGGGTGACATGGTTTAGTGTGAGGTGTCCCTGCCCATGGCAGGGGGTTGGAACTAGATGATCTTCAGGTCCTTTCCAACCATAACTATTCTATGATTCTATGACTGGAAAAAGGGAAACACAACCCCCATTTTTAAAAAGGGAAAAAGGGAAGACCCAGGGAACTATAGGCCAGGCAGTCTCACCTTGGTGCCTATCAAGACCATGGAGCAGATTCTCCTGGAAATTAAGCTAAGACACATGGAAAATAAGATGATTGGTGACAGCCAACATGGCTTCACTAAGGGCAAATCATGCCTGACAAATTTGGTGGCCTTCCACAACAGAGTTACACCATTGGTGGATAAGGAGTGTGACCAGCAGGTCAAAGGAGGTGTTCCTGCCCCTCTACTATGTTCTTGTGAGACCCCACCTGGAATACTGCGTCCAGCTCTGGGGCCCCCAACACAAGAAGGACATGGGCCTGTTAGAGTGAGTCCAGAGGAAGTCCACAAATATGATGAGAGGGGTGGAGAACCTCTTCTATGGAGACAGGCTAACAATTGGGCTTGTTCAGCCTGGAGAAGAGAAGGCGCCAGGGAGACCTTAGAGCAGCCTTCCAATACTTAAAAAAAAAAGTCTCCAGCCTACAAGAAAGAGGGACTTTTTACAAGGGCATGTAGGGACAGAACAAGGGAGAATGACTTTAAACTGACAGGAGATTTATATGAAATACAAGGAGTAAGTTCTTTACTGGGAGGTGGTGAGACACTAGAACAGGCTATCCAGAGAAGTTGTGGATGCTCCACCCTTGGAAGTGTTCAAGGCCAAGTTGGATGGGGCTTTGAGCAACCTGGTCTAGTGGGAGGTGTCCCTGCTCATGGTAGGAGGGCTGGAACTAGGTGATGTTTAAGGTCCTTTCCAACACAAACCATTCTGTGATTCTATGACCAATTTTCACAGTGGAGGGAAGTTTAGTGGAATAACACAGTGATGTGTACTGGGATTATATAAATAAAATAAGATTAAAAACTGGGTAAATAATGAAGTATGCTGATGATACTCAATAATTCAAGATAACAAAAATGCAATTTGTCTGCAAAGAATTCAGAAATATCTCATGATATTGAGCAACTGGATAATACCAGGGCAAAGTAAATTTAATTCTGACACTTGTGAAATATCATTGCTGTGGTTTAAGCCCAGGACAATCATGCGTTAATAAAATAACATCTATGTGTATTCACATATACACAGTGTTATAGCTGAGTTCTTGGTGTTATGTGGACAAGGCTCTGAAAATATCAATTCAGTGGCTATCATCTGCCAAAGCAGTGTATAAAGTGTTAGGAATCAGTAGGAAAGAAATCAAGGGTAAAAAAGAAAACATCATTGTGCCATTGTATAAATGTTTTGTGTTGCTCCAACCACCACAAAGAGGAATTAGTAGATTGAGGTGAAGTGCAGAGCAGGTAACTGGGATAACTGAGGTTTAGGTAAAGCTTCCATACAGGAAAAATAAGGTCGCATCTACTTTAGAAGGTAATTAGGTGCTGAAGGCTGAACTGACAGATCAAAGCAATTGATGCTGAGAGCTCTACAACTGAAGGGAAATCATTTCAGGCTAGATTTAGTTCAGTCACCTGGGCTGAATGTCCTTACTACACATGGGGTCCAAAGCTGACTGTGGAACCAGTCATTGATTTAGACCCTTCTGTTTCTGGTAGGACTTGTAACATGTTTACAGCAACCCTGAAGCACAGGTTTTAGTTTGGTACAGCCAGAAGCAACCAAGAAATGAATAGTAAATTAAAGTAATTGCTTCAGACCTCACATTGAATAAAAATGCCAATGTAGATAAGGAGTAGTTGGCTTTTGTTCATTTATTTGTGGGGGTTTTTTATCAGTCATAGGATTTTCTTGTTCAAGGCAGAAGAAAGGTGATTGGAAAGGGCTATAATAGAGGTCTGTAAAATCAAAGAGTACTTGGGAAGGACAAACAAGGAATAATGATTCACTCTTTTTTCTAACATCAGAACTAAAGATACCAAATGAAATTAGCAGGCAACAGGCTTAAAGGAAAAGGAAGTACTTTTTCACACACTGCATAATGAAATTGTGGAACACATTACACAGGATGCTTGCAAGGCCAAAACCATAAATGAGTTCAAAAAGAAATTATACAAATTAATGGAAGAAAGGTCTGTGATGAAACCTGATAATGTAGATGCAATTTACAGAAGTGACAGATTGTCTGAAGCTAGAACCACAGTTTACACTCCTTATTCTTTCTCCACTATCAGACACAGTCAGAGGCATGATGTTGCACTAGATCTTTGTCTTGGCCTCATATTATTCTCAGGGAACTATATCTCAAAGTTGCTGCTAGAGTGGAAAACCCAGTATTCAAAGTTCAGGCACAAAAATGTCATCAGATTACCCCTCACACGTTTGTGGTCTTAACAGCAATTCAGCTGTCCTTTTTGGTGCCTTCTGATGGTGATCTCTGATTATCACTGATGTGTGAAACAACTATTGCATGCATGTTCACAGTGACTAACACCTTGGCTGGAACACCCTTCAGATGCCTTCAGTTCAGTTGCACTTTCTGAACCTGAGGAAGAGTAAAAACACTGAAAAAGTATTAGCAAAGACTTTGGATGTTCAATAACAAGTATTGAAAAATACTTGCTATTCAATACTTGCAATTCAGTAGCAAGCGTGGCCTAAAAAGCATCCATAAAGTGGAACAAATGGTGCTGAGCTCCCCATATCTACGCTATATGTGCTTGTCTGGGGATTAATTTAAACTAGCTTTAGTCTGATCCCAAGGATATGAATACTACTGACAATCGGATCACACTAAAAGCATTGCTGGAGCACATACTGCAGTTGAGTTTCATCCAAAAGGAATCCAGTTTGCATGCTCCAGAAATACCCCACAGTATGAACCAGAACTTAGTAGGAGTGTGGGGGGCAGTCAGGAGATTTACTGCAGAAAAACGTGCCTGATCCAAACTCAAATGCTTATATGGTACACCCACTGACTACTACAAGAAGGCTTTGTAAGGGGCTATTGTCAACGTGCCATAAGTTAAGAATTTATGCTACTGTGAACAATTAAAGTTTTCCAAATTATTCCCTTCTTTTTCTTTCCTCTCCCTACAATTTACATTTTGATTGTGTCGACCCATTTATTTAGTAGTTAATTCATTGCTCGTAAACTGAGAAATATGGCTCATTGAGCTTATAGACAATGTCATTTATTTTCCCATTTTTTAAGCACGAGCTTGAACTGTTTTGTCTTCTTTTTAAATAAAGCTTCCTAGACATCATCAAGAAGTCATATGTGGTGGGGGCACACCCATGAGATTACATGATGCCACAACCACAACATGCAGCTCTCAACATTCGTGCTAAACATACAAGGCACTAGGAGCAGACTGCTTGTGTATCTTTCCATTCAAAACTGTGTCCCTGTCATGCAAGCTACTATAGCTGTATATTACACAGGAATGTGTCTGCTTTCCAGAGTTATGAAGGTGGGGTGAGATAGTGACTGAGCAGCCAGAGCTAAATTCACCATATTCACTTTAGGGACCAGTGTGTTTGCACTGGGCAGAATTCAAAGCAGCTTTTTGTGGGTGACATTCTTACTGGCAATGGTCATTAGCAACAGCAAACCTTAACAGAGGCTGATAAACCATTGGGAATCTGCCTTAATTTCAGGAGAGCTAACATTAATGACAGGTTAACAACATCAAGTTTTAAACCCTACACCCGCTGCGTTTTTTTCTCTCTTGGCATGCACAGGCCGATACACAATCTCTCTGTTCCAACCTCATCTTAGAAACAAAGAAAAACCCATCACCAAGCAGTTAAACAACATAAATGGTAGTATAGCCGAATGTCAACATTTGATTATAAATAAAATGTAAAACCATTACCCATGTATTTGTTTTTCGCTGAAGAAGATGTAAGAAACATGCATGTAAAGAAAGCATAATCCACTTTGACTTCAAGCATCTTCCAGTTTGCAATATCTCATATTTTCTAGAAAGGGTAAGATGTGACCAACATGTCCATATGACATAAAGAGCGGTGGGAATTATAGTTCAGTAATGCAGCACAGATAACCTAGTTCAGAGGCAATCATCAGGCTGATGAGCTGCAGTTTACAGGGGACGAGTCAGTGCAGCCAGTGGGACTTAATAAGATAATCTAAAAAAAAAGTGCTTAACCTTGCTATGCTACCTCTTCATCTGAATGGAAACACATTCATATGCTGAATTAAACCAATGTGCACATCTTTATTGGTGACATACATTGCAATTCCTTTAGTCCCTCAGTAGTGTGGCAGGATATGCAAGTTGAAGGCCAGGAGAGGGAAATTACTAACGATTGTGTGCCAGAAGCGTGCTAAGAATAAGTCATTCCTCCCACTAGATATTGAATTTTATTTCAAACTGCTAGTAGAAGTAAATGACATTACACTTAAGTTCTTGTGAAGACAAAAAATTGTGTCTTTTAGGTTAAAAGCCATCACAGTTCTACTAAAATTTTAACAACAAATATAAAAAAATTTGCTATGCTAGTAATAATTCAGAGTTCTGGCTGAATCTAATTTAAACTTTTCCTCACAGCTGTACTTCCAAATTTCTTACGTTTGCAGTAGTTCATACTATCACATCAACCCAATAATTCAGATAAAACTGAAGTGGGGGAGGTCACATGCAGCTGGTCTTTGCTATTTAAATATATATATGTATGCACACATATGTATATATACAAGTAGCAATGATACTCTTGCAACAGAAAAACAAAAAACAAATCTGTTGTGGTTTAATAAAAGGGGTGCTTCTCAAACTGTTTCTCAGGACACGCATTGAGTTGCAACTCGACAAGTTCCAGGACAAGAAGTAATAGTATAATTGCTTTCTCCAACAGGATTTCAGAGCAAGTAACAGTATACCCATATTATTCAGGCACAGAAAGTAAGAGCTTTCTCACAGGATAATGTGTCCTGCTGTGATTTTGCTTGCAACTGAGGGATTCACCCTTCCACCCTTTATGGGAAGGGCAGCTGTAGCTTAGCAATGCATGGTGTTCACAATACTGCCTACACTAATACTCCCAGCCACATATATGAGAGTTGTGATGTTGAAAATCTGAATAACAATATACTAAGATCCTTATGATATTGTGATATTTAATTTACATCAAGAAGGAAAGCTGCTCTGAGCCGACGTCAGGGCTTAGCTGCTTCCACAATTTGCTGTTTTTTTTTCCAACTCTTCTCTACCCCAAACCTGAATCTTGATTGAAGGTCAAGTATTGAATCTGCAAAGATTAGGCTGCCTGTTTTCAGTCTCCTTTAGAAGTAAGTTCTCTTCTTCATGATGTCTAAGTAGATGGTACTATACTAAATGGCTTCAGCTTCATTATCTCCCTTTTCTTGCTATAGCCTGATTGCAAATGTTCACAACAGTGTACTACAAAGAAAGGTAGAGTTTTAATGACACTCTCAGGATATGATATCTGATCACCAATCCCACACTACACACCTTTCTACAAATAGCCTTGCAAACAGCTCCAATGTTACACATAAACCTTCATATTGGAGCACTATGTTCAGCAGTTCCTCATTGGAAGAAAAAGTCCCCAAAAATCTTACAGAAGCAAAACTCGGTAATGTGATGTGTAAAGCTCTGATGTGTAGAAAACATCCATTTATGAGATTTGCTTAATTCCATGTTGCAAGTAGTAGGAAGGGATGGTGCATGCTTTTTGTCTCGTTTCTAAATGCAAGTGCCCTCATAAAGACAAATAAAATGGAGTCTTACTGAATACCTGCTGCTTCAATTACAGTTATCAATGTTATGGTATACTTTTCTTCCTATGCTGCTACATATTTATACCTTGTCAAAATGTTAACTTTTTTTTTTGCTGTAGATCCTATGGATCTTTTAAAATTTACAAAGATCAAAAAGATTTTTAAAGTTTATTCTGTTTTTACATCTGACCAATGAGGCTTTAAATCTCTGACGTTCTAACATCTGAAAAAGGAAACCAACGATAAAAATAACAAACAACCACCTTGTCAGGATTCACATACAAGAGTAGGAAGTTGTTAGAGGCTGAATTTCTGAAACCTGAGTTGGATTCACAAAGCTGGCTGGAAGGAAATATTTATGTGCATTCTTTAGAAGATCAGCTCATGACAAATCCAAAGAGGAATGAACCTAGTGAGCTTGCTTCCTTTCTCATTTGTTATTTTTCATAATTGACTTCTATTAGATTGGATTATAAAGTAGACTCAAATTACTGACTCACCAATCCCAAGAAGGCAAGTCTTTAAAGTAATGAGATTAACAACTGTTGATCAAAGAAAATTACCATAGTTGCAAGGCTCTGCATTTGTTGGTGAAATATATTGTTAGAAAGTGATTACATGGGCTGGTTGAGTGGCTAGGTCAGGCTGGCCAACACAGAGAGCTGCACATAGGAAGATTACTTCTACAGGAGCAGAGGTCCCCCCACAGGAGGTAACAGTTGGAACTCAGAAGTTCAAAGATTTCTTCATTTCTTCTTTCAGAGACACTAGAAAATGTAGCAAAAATGGGAAAGGAACTCCCCATAATAAGCAGTCTTTGCTCTGTCAAACTAAGCTCATCACAGTGTCTTTTATTATTCCAGAAGCTCTGCAAAGATCTCTGGGTCCATTGGGAGGCTGTGTGGTAATATCGGGAATTAAATGAAATGGTCTCTGGAGGCTGTGATTCTTCCCAGAGTTTCTGTGAAACATGCCACAGTAAATGCTCCAAAGCATCCTCAGGAGAGGGTAGTTCATGGGGTTCCCTGACAGCAGTTTGGAGACATGGAAACCTTCCCACCATTCTCAGGGCAAATGCCAACATGACATTTAAGTGTAAGAAACAGAAGAGGATCAAGGTGGAATGGGTGCTCTTGGGCACAGGGAGCTGAGGGGAGATGAACAATAAACAGAGCAGCCAGGCAAGATTAATTTGAACCCCTCTAGCCAGATGGTGATTAGATTAAATGTATTCTATCCACTTGGGCAAGAAATCAATTTGTTGCTCCACATGGCTATTAGCAGGATAGATTAGCTTCATGGCAATAGAGGCTCCAAGGTTTGGGATAAGCATTCCTGAAAGAGGAAACTGAATAGAGACAATCTTTAATACTACTTCCTTGTTTCTATTCTCTTACCATAGAAAGCTAAGTTGGGCTTGCATACTTATGTAGACTGTAGAACAGAGAAGAGTAGGAACTTTTTCCCTCAGTCCTACCTATATCTACTTCGAGATTCCTCAGTGAAAAAAAAAAAAAAAAGAAAAAAAAGTAGTAGAGAAGAAACACATTTTGAACAGAAACAAATAAAACTGAAAAGTCCAGCTCTGCTATCTAGGTGATTACTTTTATACTCAGTCTTCCTTGAGCCTTTCTGATGAGATGGACTCCTTACCAACACATACCTTGAAGGAGACCTTTTTAAGTACTGTAACCCAGTGCTTACAGTGTGATGGTGGTAAGGACTTGAAGGACACCATTAGAAAGCACCCTGTGAAGCAGAACCTCAAGAAGCTGAATTGCCCTTATCACAGATCACATTTCCCTGTAGCTCAAAGGTATATATTTGGTTTTGCTTTCAGTGCGCATCAAACTTCCCCTATTCTGAAGAAGCAAAAAAATCCAGCTACTCTTTGCTATTAAAAAGAGTTTAAAGGTCTTCAGACTGTACCATTTTATATGTTTTAACACAGCATGGTCATGAAGGAAGTGACTTGAAGCAGGTGTGATTTCAGGATATGTCAGTTGACCTTAAAAGTAACCATGAATTTTAGCACAGTGATTTCCACAGGCAAATATGCACATCTATCCATGTTCATGTCAAGAGAAAGATAGGAACTAGAATCTCCAAATGTCAAGCTCATTAAATTATTTAATTTTTAAAAAGCCATCAAGAGCAACAGCAGAATCTCCCATTCCTGCCCCTCCCATTCCTATCCTCCATCTGACTAGCCATCAGATCAAGGTTAGGTCCAGTTAGGCTTGGTTTCCTCTTCCATAGTGAAGCTTTCCAAAATACTATCTAAAGAAATTGCTGGAATAATTAGTAAAAGGCAGGAAAATTTACCTGCAAATGAACCATTTCATGCCAGAGGCTCGGTATTTACTTCATAAATCACAAATCCTCTCTACAGTCAATCAGTGCACTCTCCAGCAGTCTAGCCCTGGCTCACAGCCAGGGCAGAGGGCAAGCCATGGACTAAAGTGAAGAAGTATCCTCCTAAGGAGAGCAAAAGGAGGAAAAAAAAAACCCAAAGAGATTCCAAATACACCTTTAATTTTATGTGATTACCTGCTTCCATGAGGCTTTGGCCAAGGAAGTTAAAAAGCATCATCAGATTTCTACTTCCTGGTCAGGATGCAACTGTAGTAAGGGAACTGCCTTAGTTTCATCTTCTCTTTTAGCCAGTCTGACCAGTAAATCCTGATTCAGCCTCAGGATCAAGCCTCACACTGAACCTCGTGTGCCTGATAGCACCAGTGCCTCTGACTACTTCTGAAATACTGTAGGGTCAGAGTACAAGAGAACTCAGCTGAAAAACTGGTGCTGAGCTGTGTGGGATTTGAAAGGCTCCTGAAGACTGTAATTTCCTTCAATGATTTTGGTGCTATTATATGCTCAATAGTATTTCTGCCAGAAGTTTGTGTTCTGGCAAGTTCCTAGCTAACAGGACGAGAATGGGGGAAGACATTTCTTTTAAGGACTCATTTCCTGAATTATGCATCACTAAAGAACATTGTGACAAATTATTTTGCAGAGCCTGTTAAATAATATAAAAAGGGGGTTCCAACACATGATCATGGATAATTACTTTAAGAGCAGCTTAACAAGTAACCCTTTCTCAATCTTGCTACTGTAATTCCCCATATGTACTTAACCTGCCTAAAATGGAGAGGCAAAATGTACCATTTAAACCTTTGCTTTAACTTAGGGTGTGAAGTAAGTCCCAGTTTTGTGAAGAGAGCTGACACTTTTACAGAGAATTCACTTGAAAAGCAATTGAGATGTTGTATTTTGTGCCAGAATAATTTCTATCATTAAGAAAGAGAGAAAAAAAAATAAAAATAGAAAACCCACCCCCAACCTGGAATTTTTGGTGAATGCTGGAGTAACAAATAGAGGGCACATGTTGCTTTGTGCAGTGAATAGAGGGAGAGACTGGAGCTGCTGGAGATGCAAAGGGGAAAGAGTGAAGCACAGAGGGGTTTCCACAGGAGAAGGCTGTAAGGACACAGGGCACAAATCCATAACAACACTGGCTTCACTGATTCCTACAGCACCTTTGTTTTGGAGGGGGAAGCCTTTTCATTATTAGGTCCCATTGTGTTATTTTGAGCAAGAAACCTACTTTCATTACCCGGAACCAACATTAACCCTCTTCATGTCTGTCAGACTCAATCTCAGATGTCTAGCAATTACTTGAAATTGAACTCAAAACAATACTGAGGTTTTATTGATAGCTTCTCATCAATTGCGTGCTGTTTCATGCCTTTCAGCCGATAGCCTGGAGAGCATCCAATTCTCCTGCACCATGCCCAACAGGGTCAAATTTCAGTGAGGTTATTGATTGTGACTTGACATTTAAGGAACATATGACCACTGTGACATAAACAGCTTTATATCAGCTTATAAATATTGCCAGGCTGAGACATCCCCTTTCTCATGCTGAAAGTTGAAACATTATTTCCTTGTTCCTCTTGCTGGCTCAGCATTTCGATACTGTAATTCGCATTTTCCCTAGATTCCCAAACTGTGCAGAGATAAATGCTACTGTGAGAGTTATTCCAGGTAGCCAATGCTGGAGCCTCTGCTGGCTGGACTAAACAAAATTAGTCAAGTCTTGTCTAGCAAGAATTCCAAAGAGAAGAAGCAGTAGATGTGTCAATACTTCATGGATTTTTTTAATGAAATCTCTCAGCAACAGAAAATCTTTCTTTCTTTTCTTTTTTGTTACTGTGGTCAGGCTCTGGCCTTTTACTTGCTGGGAAGGTTGGAGGGGGTCTGTCAAGAGAAGGTCAGCATCTTGAAGATGTAACTTATTTGTGGTGAAACTGGCCTTTGCAAGGGCAAACCAATGCTATTGTATTCCCCTGATTCACATTTTTAGAACTCCTTTTCAGATAAAAAAACTAAAGCTAATGGTCTGTTTACTGATATACTAAGCTCTGAATTTCCCAGTGACTTGGAAATGACCTGCCTCCCCAGGAATTAGACCCCAAATGAAGAGAGAAAAAGCACCTGAGTTTCACAAGTCTGTTTGCTCTGAAATTCAGCTCTCAGACTTCACTCACTAGAAATCTGAGAAGTCCAGGGCAAATCTCAAAGATAATGTCCCAAAAGAGAGCAGAACTAGTAGAGATCTCTTGGCCCCAGCTGTAAGCAGAAGTTAAAATATTAAGTTAAAATGGCTTTGTATTTTTTCTAGAAGTTTTATTAATTACTGCAATAGGAGGCAAATACGAAGCTTTGCCACCTCTTTTACTTGCATTTTGTTAAATTCATTCTGGAGCAGAGATCCTTGGACTTAATTGGCCCATTGGCTTGATACCTTTACAGTATGTATATAAAGGATGTGATTCAGCTATAGTGCATAAAATAATCAGCACTTTTTTGCCACCTGATTTCCCACGAGATACCTTGCCTATGTATTTCATATCCTTACAGTTGAAATCTTGTTTTCCTAAAAGAAGTCCTTTCCCCTTCTATTAAAGCTTATAAGCTGCATTCTAAAATAAGCTGCATTCTAACAGAGAACTGGCTGGAAGGACATCAGACATGCTCTTTCAGAGAATGCATTTTGTTAAAAAATTATAAAAATTCACACAAAATCCAATTACATTTCTGAAAGAAAAGTGTTGAAAAACATTTTGGCTTCCTGGGAGGGAGAGGGGGGAGTTCTGCTGGGATAGAGCATGTTATTCCAAGAGGTATTTAATTTTTGGTAATTTTATTTTTCTTTCTCCGTTAGTGCACTGTATGTGTTATTTTCCTTATTCATTGAAAATGTAGCTATATCAAGGATATATTAAGTTCTAACATCTCAACATTAAAAAAATAGATCTTTTAACCTTATAGAAGATTCAGTGTCTCAGTCAAGTAGAAACAAGATGTTTTGATGTTTCATATTTGCTATTTTCCAGTTCCCTTGGATATTTCAAAGTTTTGACTTGGGACAGAGAGTGCTAACCAATCTGAAAAATTCCCTGAGGAAAAGAGATTATCTGCTACATGTGGGTGTAGCTGCAACCTCTGCACGGAAAACTCCAATGCAAGGGAGATGTCAAAGCTGGGTAAGAAAATTGATGAAAGCAATAGTGCTTCACAGAAGCTTGGCACTTTAGCTGGACTATAAACCTAACTGTCATTGTGTGATCCACACCACTATTATAAACAGGTTGTGAAACCTTTAATCAGTGATGAGACTTCTGAAATGAGGAAAAAAAATTACACAGCCGTGAGAATAAGTAAATAAACACCAACCATGAGAAAACTTCAAGCTTACTGCAGAACTAAATATTTCATCTTTATTTTAGCAGTGTGGCTGCATATTAATTATATATATTGCTAAACATTTCACTGTGGTGGAGTGGTGCAAGTGCATTATTCTATTTTTAAAAATAATTACTCAGTAAAAACAGCAGTCTAACTCAATTGGGTCGAAGCTGAGATTTGGATGGACCTGCAGTGTTATCATTTGTATCAGATGATTTATGTACCAGTCAGGTGAGAATTAGCAAGACCTAGGTACAGGTAGTCAATTCTAATGGCAAAGAGATATTTGGCTTCACATAAAGATATAAATATTCTTTTCAGATCCTTTTTTTCCCCACTCTTTTCAGGGTTTAAGATGATCCCTGTGGGAAACAGGAAGGATAAGAGCTGCTTGAAAGCCAGTAAAGCAGTTTCATTCCCAGGTCTTCCTTTCGGTCAGAAGACAGGAAAGAATGGACGTCCTCAGCCACACTGCAAAGGGCTGGTGGATGGGGCAGCAGCTGAAGCAGAAAGAAAAGCAAAGCTGACCAATCCTCAGATTAGCCTGACCCTCAAAGCCAGTGAGCTGCTTCATGGGCGATTTCACAACTGAGCCATGAATGATCCAAAGAGCTTTTAAAGATTGTCTCTCACTTGTTTTGCTTGTTCATGAGAATATGTCGCTCCTGGGAAATGATGTGGCCAGCATGTTGTGAGTCATGAATTGCACTGATTGCAAGCACAGCTGGGAATCCTCTTCAGCCATTCCCAATTGCTTCCTTTCTCTAGCCTATTTTATCATTTGATTTTTTACTGGCAGAAAAAAAAAAAGTTACATTAAAAATAGGGCTTTGTTGCTTTTTCTGGCCCCAGCACTCCTTGGCAGCTGACTTCACTCTCCCTTTCTTTTTCTTTTTTTTAATTCTTCTTTTCTTTAGAGAGCATCAGACCACCCTTCTCTACCCAGAAAGTCTCTCTGCCCCTTGCTGGTCTGTTCACTTTCTGTAGTGATTCTTATTTGCAGCAAGTTGCCCCTGAACAGCACCACCACCGCACCAACCCCCTCCTTCTTTCCCATTCTGTGTCCTGCCCTGCTCTTGCATATCTACCCATTTTGTATACGGTCTCCGTGCTGGAAATATCTTTAGTTAAGCCTTCTTATTGGCTTTCCAAGCAAACTGGTAACTGAAACCCTGGCACTGTAACTCAGTAAAGCCTTTTTTGTGTTCTTCTTTGGTCCTTTTTATACAAAAGCCCAGAAATTTTCCCTGCAGGCTTGTAATTGTGCTGCCATTATAGGATAGCTCTTTTAAGCCAATCATCTGAAATGCCCATCTTTCTGTGTTATTGTGTGTCAGAAAGAGCAAAGCTCCCTCTCTCCTTGCTGTGCAGACATCCCGATGCAGAAATTAAGCTGTGCAAATCTATCTCCTCACAATCCAAAATAAGAAACGAGCCTCACACCAAAGTCAGTGAAGTCTCCCACAGGCTTCAGATGGCTTTGAGTCAGATCCTAAGGGCGAAGCTGAGATCTAGGCACCATTCAGCTTCCTCTTTAAACAAATTAATTGATGGGAATAGCTATTATTCATTATCAGAAGAGCAGTAGCTACCTTGGAAAATTTCTCCTCATTCTGGAACTGCTTTGCAGCAAGGGATTTGAACACCGAGTCCCACTCGCTTCCCCTCTCCCTCACACGTACCAGACAGCTGCCCCTGGCAAAAGGAGTCCTGCACTAAGCACTGCCTTTCAGCTCAACAGTTATTTTGCCTGCAGCCCAAGCAATATTTGACACATATTGTATCCTGTTTCTGCTGCGTCAGCAGTGTTGTGTAAACACGTTAGCTCATTGAGGCATGGAACTCACAATTGTTTTCCCACTTGCAAAACAAACCACATCCAATAAACCCAGGGGATAAGCCAGTTATTCAGATTTCTACTTCAGCACAAGAGAAGTGGTTAATAAAGTTACTATTCTCCTTTGTGTTCCGTCAGCTGCCTCTGATAGTATGAAGTGTTGCTGACATGGCAGGAATAGATGACATTGCCTTTCAGCAGCCCCTTCCTATTCCCTCTGAGGGGACTAAGCAGATTGAGGAGACTGATAGGTTGTCTCTCCTGATGGTAACAGGGGTCTGGTTCCCTTTCTGCTCAGTACATAGCAGAGGAAACAAAGCACAACAGCACCGCCTGCAAATCCTCCTTAGCTGGGACTGACTGCTGCTCATGCTTGCTGGATCCCAGGCTTGGCTGCTGGAGGGCTGATTTCATCTGGAGCAGACAGCAGTGAGGTTAGGCAGATAGGTGGAAGTAACGTGAGGAAGAAGGAGCAGAAGATCTTTCAGCTCAGGGAATGTACACAAAACAAACTGTTAGTCCATGTGGATCTGCTAGCTAGCAGAGCCCACTCCAGGCAGACTCCCACTCATTTCTGAGTGTTGCAGGATGGGAAGCAGCAGGAGCAGCCAGGTGATGTATTTACCATTCTTCTATCTTAGACACACCACTGCAGACACAGCATTTCAAAATGCCTTTTAGCCCTGCAGATGATGAAAGCATGGTGGCCTGAATTCTTCCTACCTACCTGTGGGCACTGAACTCTTTCACTAACTTGGGAGGAACAGAGAGAGACAGACAGACAGATATCAGTACAAAGCTATGCAAATATAGGGTAGGAAGAGGTGCCCTCAACCAGTACCTTCCTCTCCACAAACAGAGTGAGGTCAGGCAGGGCATATCTGAGGGGCTATGAATGTATTTTATCCTCTGCACTGATTTCTTTGCTCCTGGATGCAGTTCTAGGTTTTTGTTGTAACTGATCACGTGAGGTCTCACACAGACTTTATCTAGAGCACTAGCTGAAACCAGCTGAGGTGCTGACAGCAGCATCCCCTTTGCTACCCCAGCTCTCTCCCAGTTTTGTGGTAGGAGGCTGCTGCTCACTTACCAACTTAACCTGTTGTTCCTCCCAGGCTCCTCTGAACACCTTCAAATTGTTTTTTAAAGCAAAAGAAGACAGAACAGAACCCTTCCTAAGGGGTCTTTATAGTTAAAGTGGTTAAGTTGGTCTTTGTGCAGATTCACCCAGCCTACGTGTCACCTGCTTTCCCAGTACTATCACTTGCTGTAACACTGGTGCTTCTGAAAGACTGTGGGAAATACTCATCCTATGCCCAGTAGAGTCTTGGATGTGTTACTACAGGTCTTTGTTTTGGGGGAAGAGGAATGGAGAAACTTTAAACTTCTGGATATTTTTCCTTTTGTTAAATCCCTTTTTGAGAGTCAACATATATTCTTTTTATATCTGTCTCTTTTTTGTATCAATAAATATCTTCATATGTGAGCCAAGAGTATTAAATACTTTTCACCAAATCAATAATGAAAGAATACCTTAATACGATCCACTGAGTCTTTTTCCATTATAATATTTAAGCTCAGATACTATGAACCAGTGAGTTTTAAACAGCCTGTTTGCTAACTGGTATGTGGGTCTGTCATTTAACCCTGGCTATAATTGACCCTATTACCTCAACTATCTCACCTGCTATTGCCTAATAATTCCTCAGGGATGGAGGCAGAGGCTGCACCTGGTCCTTCTTTACTATCAGAAAGCACAGCCCTGAAGTTGAGCTGAAAGGGGGAATTACACTGAACTGCAGAAATGTTACATATAGGTAAGCTGTGGTTTTCGGGACTTTATCCTTCTACGGTAAAAGTATATGGTACAGAGTTTATAGACTTTGTGCTCCAAAGATGGAAGGAAAGTACAAAATCAGTTACATCCTGGGAAAAAGCTGTTTCAAACTCATTCTTGCTTTTATTAGGCATTATTATTTATATGTCAGAATATGCAAAGTATATCATTTCAAAAGTGGGTATGTTCTGTGTACATCACAAAGCAATTGCTGGCAAATGACTGAAACTCAGAGTAAAACATATAAGTAAATGGAAGTCTTCTAAGTTAACCTATGAAGCTTTACACACATTGGATAGCAACACAACTGGCAGTTCAGGGTAACAGAATTGTATCTGGACTAAATTTGACACACTTACCATAAAGCTACTAATTCAACTACTGTCTAGGGCAGCAAAGTCCATATGAACAAATCATCTTCTCCAGCCAAAGATCACAAACTATTGGGAAAAAATGTGAGGACTCACATTGTTTTTTATTAGATTCAGGGTTTAACCTCATGAAGGGGGGGGGGGAGGGAGGGGGTTAACTTGAAGATATGTGTATTTCAATGCTCTTACAATCCTGAGCGATAGCCCTCCCAGTGAATATGCCAAAAATACACCAAAGTGATTTTAAAGAAAATAAATGCTATGTTGCCCTGGCACATCCAGTAGGTTCCCACTCCTCTGAGGGGGATTCTGAAGTCTGAATGCCTGAAGGGGAGTAAAATGCACCTATAATTGCTGTTTCAAAGCCCTTTATGTAACCAGTGTAAAGATGCTGCAGTGCCAGTAGGAATCAGATACCCTACATTTGACAGTCCGATAATTATTGAATATTCTGAGGTGCTTTTTCCTTCTGACTCCTGATTTGGTGACTGAATCCTCCTGGAAAGCCACAGGACAGAATTATCCCACTGCATGAGGTAACTTTTACTTTGGGATCTCAAGGTATGCCTCAGAAATGTCAGGGGTCTGAGCTTCGGGGGTTTAACCTTTCGTAGCAAGCTGCTGGGAAACAGAAATGTATTGCAGTCAAGTAGTAAATCCCAGCTAAAGGTGCACAATCTTCCACTATTCTGGTCTTCTTTTACCCTCAGGATAACTTTTGCTTTTAGAAACACTAATGGTTAAAACCTATTGAATCTTGGATGAACATTTACAAGAAGGGAGCATTTGTCCTCAAATACCAAAGGCTTTTGAAAAGCTCTGTCGCTTCCCTCAGATGATGGAAAACAGCATTTGTGGAAGAAATACTATTCTCTAATGAGTGCCTGCTTTAATCCAGAGGACACCAGAGGCTAAATAAACTGAGTGGGTCTAGCCAAATGTGCATACAGTTCACATAGGCCTTGCTCAGGCTAATGGATTATTGTTATGCCAGGATATAATGGATAGATTGGCAAGAGTCTGTCCCTTGCTTGTTTGATGCAGTCTCTGGATGAACATGTAAGGCCACATTTGCTTGCTTTCTATAGTATTCTTTCTTACACTCAAAACTTAATTTGTATTCTCAAAATGGCATAAAAAGTTCCAGAAATAATTCAAAGTAATTAAAAATAAAAGGGCAGGAATCCAGTGCCAGGGAGGGGAGCGTTTTCTCTTTTAGCCTCTTTTTGTGGATCCCGTTGTGCCAAGACAGAAAACAGTGAGATGTTCAAATATTAATAAAGTGGTAGCACAGCCAAATTAAAATGCCCCAATTCTCATAAGTAATGTTTCCAGCAGAGCACAAAAGAATAATCAAGCCCCCAAACTGGTGAAGGAGAATTTATGACCCACCATCTGAGCTGCCAAGAACTCCCTACATGCCGGCACTGAGGACAGCACAGAATTACTCTGCCTTTAAACTTTACCCAACTCAGCGCTACAGAAACAAGACAGCACCATTCGTGGTCATGGAAAGTCTTCTGCTGGCTTCTTGAGGTGATGAGTCCCTACTTAGCCTGTACCTCTGTACCTGCACAAAAGCATGCAGCACAGTTTTCTTTAAAGCAGCAACTCTTAGAATATGAGAAGCTTCATGAGTTGCATTTAATGTGCAATCCCATGCAGAGAAAAACACCACGTTCTGGGGCAGTCAAAAATTAAGTTGGACACTGAAATTAGTGCATCACTAGTGGAAAATGGGATTTAGGTTTGCTTTTTTTTGTTGTTGTTTTAGGGTTTCTTTGGGTCTTCCTTTTGTTAACAGCAGATTCAAAAGACTGTAAATTTCTTCAAAATTGCTATTTAAGCAAATCAGTCCAGATGAAAGAACTTAGATACTGACCTACGCATACTGTATGTACTCATCCTGTGTGTTGCAGACACCTAGGGCACTGCACTACGTCTGAACTGGGCTTTTCCTATGGTTCAGGTTAGACTTTACATCTATGTGCCACGGTATTATAAAGCATTTTGTGGATTTTAACATGAAATGAGGAAATAAAACCCCAAACACTGTCTTTCTAATACACCTCTTCTCTGTGCTACTCCTCTCCCCCTTCTATATGTTAGGACATTCAGGCCAGTTGAGTTAACAGATAGACATCACGGTCACCTCATTCAACAGCTCTAACGAATTTGAAACTTGACAGTTTTCTTTGCATACTTTACCTCTGTCATGTATTCTGGTTCACCTACATTTCTCACAATGGAATACCAGATTTTTATTTAATTGTCTTTTCTTATTGCATTCACTAGTCAGACAAACCTGGCTGTCTTTAGGTTGTTTTTTGAACCCAAAACTCGTCTCCGATACAGTTCAGCTGGGATTTTAGTCCAATCACTGACCAAGTACAGAAACGTTTTCTGATATCAAGCAGCCTAATGAAAATTTTGAAAGGTAGAACTAGAACTTTTTACCTAATCTACCCCTTGACAGACTTCTCTACCAAAGATCTGATCTCTCTAAGGTAGAGTCTGTCCTTTCCCAGAATTTTTCCTAATCTTCAAAATATATGTTATCCATCACCTTGCATTTTTTACACATTTATAATGTGTACTTCTCTATGCTTCTCTATCTCTTCATATAGAAAAGGAAATTTCAAATAAACAGAGAAAATGGACCTAAATCAGTTTCCAGAAATGTAGATTTAGATTCTTCTATTCACCCTTACCAGTCACTGGTAGTAACCATGGAATTAGGTGCCTCCCCAGCTGAAAAAGGGTTAATGCAGAAGTGGAATATGCTGGGTCATTCTGATACTCACAATATTCCCAGCCACTGATGTATCCATCATTCAAAGAGTCACAGTTAAGAGACTCTTGAGCGATCTCACGTAAATATACCTATGCTCTCTCAATGACTTCCTAGGCCTGTAGGAGTGGTTGAGTTCCTCCTCCTCTTGCACACTTGATCCTGGCCCTCTCATGCTGAGAGACCACATTTCTACAAGTGGAGCTTGAAGATAGATGTCTTTGAGAGTGTCTTTCAGTGCTTAAATGTATAGCTTTTACATGCACCCCTGCCATAGAAAGTAGTAGGAGACTACTACACACAGTTCCAAGCAAACTTTCTGCTGACTGTATGTTGCTGTGCTCGTCATGTCAGATACTTGTCTTCTGCTCACCATTCTCGAGTTTACCACAAGCTTCACTGTCTCATACTCTGGTCTCATTTTGCTATGTGCCAGCCACATAAATATATGTAACTTGATGAAAGCCATGCACATTTTGTAACCTTTCTGTGTATAAGGTCTTAACGCATCTTGTTGTGATAGGTTCCATGAACTGAATGTACACCACATACAAAAGGAAACAGTTTCAGCTAATAACTTCTTTTCTTAGCACATTTGAGGGCATACAGAAATAATACAAGAGGCTTGCTTGCTTTTCTTTCAATTTACTAGAAAATTTAGCTGATTGAAACTAGAAAAGGAGAGACTTTAAGACTTAGTTCAGGTTTGCATGTTCTAATTCAGGCAGAGAGCTGTGGTACCTTCATGAGAGCAAAATCAGTGCTGACATAGCCATACATGGGCAACATTTACAGACATGTAGAAAGAAAGGTTCCTGGCCTAAGATTCCAGCCTAATTGAGGCGAAATCAATAAACACGATAATTATTCTTTCTCACAGTGAAGTGAACAATTCACTTTGGAAGGAAAAATGTGCCATTGCTATTCCCCAGTCTTGCTGTTATTTTATTTTATATGCACTGTTACTGCTCATCACAGAGATTTTCTGCATTTATTTAGTGAGTACCTTAGCCAGAGAGTTCAAATTCTGGTCTAAACTTGGGTTAATGGGGTTTCTGAGGGCTTGCCGACATGGGGTAGTTAGAATGCTACAACGAAAGCTGTTCATTTCCATTGCTAAGCCTTTCTGGACACTGGACTGGGCACAGACCAGTGGATGTTTGCTAGCTAGATCTTGAGCTGGCCAGGCTTGAGATAGTTCTGGCTTGACAGATGTATAGCTGCACAAGTGCAGTGCTTCTTCCAAGCTCCATGAGAAATCTGGCTTTCCTGGGCCTGGCACTCCCAGGAAAGAGACTGTCATCTTCTGGAAGAGGTGGCAGGCCAGCCTGATGAGTGGACAGCAGTGTCCCTGCTACCCCTCCAATGGCTTTCAAGGCTGATGACTCCAGCCAGAAAAGCACACCAACCTCACTGCATCCCTGCTCCTTGGGCAGACAAGGCCACTACGTATCAGCCTCATTGCAGAACTCACTGAGGAGGCTCC